GTGAGCCCCACTGCCCCACGCTGCATGGGGGCTCTGCCATGAGCGCTCAGAGGCCCCAATCACCACTCCTGCAGCTGGTGAGTGTGAGGCTTTAAAAAAAAAAAAGTGCTAGGATACTGGGGTCAGGTGGGGGGAGGGGGGCGCCATCAGGGGCAGGGCACGGGGGCTCTGCCAGAAGGCCCCAGATCCCCCACAGCCCTTGCTACAGCCAGTGAGTGGGGGCTTTTTTTTCTTTTTTTCAAGGTTTCGGGAGGCTGGGCCAAGCAGGGGACGCAGCCAGACAGAGCAGCCATGGGGGCTTTTCCCGCGGCTCCCCCAGCTATGCTTGGCACACGCTGTGCCGAGCAGACTCAGGTGCTGGCCTCAGCCAACAGCGGCAGCCTGCTGTCATCCCGCGCACAGATCCAGGAGCCTGTGGCCCCCAGAAGGGCTGCGGGGTTGTGCCAAACTCCTCCCAGGAGACGCAGGACCCTGGATCGGCGCTCAGGATGACAGCAGGCTGCCGTCCCTCCCCAAGAGCACTGGGATTGGAAGGGACCGCAGGGACAGCTTGCAGACACTGGCCAGCTACAGATGTCAATATCAGAGCAGTCCTTCTGCCCCTCTTCTCCCTCCCTCTTCTTAGTTTGTTCCCTGCAAGCCAGGCTCCAAAACATCTGAAACATTTCTGAAACGTTTTGGATGGTTTCATTTAGTTTTGGAGATGTTTCGGAGCCTTCCGTTTCATTTTAGATTCGGTGTTTCAGGTGCCGAAACGGGCTGAAACACCTCCGAAATGAAACGGCTGCCGAAATTTCGTACTACCCAGATCTGCTGACTGGGGCAGAAGGAAGTTAGCTATGGTCCAACCATTTCCATGTCCTTCAAATGAGAAAAACGTTGCTCCTGAACCAAGTGAAAACATCAGCAGAATCTTAAGGATCACGTTATTTACTGACCCACTAATACTGGATTTCTAGAACTTGAATTTTCTATTGAAGTTTTAACTTGTTTTTATTCAAGTGTTATTGTTGCTTCACTTACAACTAGAAAACCAACAGTGGGAAGTAATGGGGTCCGACCTGGGACAGGCAGGGGTGCAGCTCCAGTTTCAGCCCCAAGCCCTGAGCCAAAGCCAAAGCTAAGTTGCCATCTGCCCTGGACCAGTATTTGAATCCAAGATGAGGCTTTTTTGCCCCACACTCATTGGGAGAAAAAAACCTTATCTTGGATTCAAGTAAATAAGGTAACTATATTTATGCTGCAGCTTTCAGTCCCTACCAAAATACTTCTAAATGCAAAACTGGATATTATTAAAACAGGAGAAGTGCAATATTGCTAATTTAGTCTCATCCCTCATTTCAGAAGAGTGTTTAGAAATCCTTACAACACGAGTAGTCCTTATATTCAGATGAATGATCCTACTCAACCTGGTGAATGTTTGTAGGATCAGGTACTTGATGAAGATAATATTATGGTAGGCATTTCTTAAAAGCACTAAACATGTGAAAGGCCCACCCAGCACATTTCTAATGCACACTTTTCCCCAGAATTTTTTTCAGGGACCCATCATATCTGCAGTTCTCAGGCCCATTACTAAGTCCCTGTGAGGCAATGGGTAGTTTCCAAAAACTAACTGCTGAGAAGCATGCAATTGATGGAGGAACTTTAACATTTTTTACAGGGGTCCTTGGATTCAGTGGGACATAGTAAATAAAAGAAGAAATTGAAGCTCATACCAGTTCTCTATGCTCCTGTTGCAGGTCTGGGGGTAGTGTGTCCATGTAGGAATCCTTCAAAGGCTTCCAGCCTAGCTGCTGAGGATCCATATAGATCATCCCACACCTAGGAAGAATAAGTAGTTACAATGCAGAAATGTATTTGCAATGCATATTCAAATTTGGGTCTGTTGCATGGGATAGGTCAGCCTTGGCTGCTTCCACATTACCTGCTGACAGTTGCTGGAGATGCCTCCTCTAAGTCGGCTGGCTCAAAAATTAAACTCATTTTGGAATTCATCTGAATTATTTCACCACTCATTAAACACAGCTAGAAGGAAAACATCCCATGAATACGGGTTAATCATGTTATAGCTGAGCATTCATTTATACTCATGTCTGTCACAAGATCAACTGTTGCACTTAATGCGAGTTTGCATTCATTTATGTTTTCCCAGCTTGTAATATTTATAGACCCTGACTTAGCTCTTCCATTTGCTACTGCTACTAGTCACAAAGAAAAAGAGAATGCTGCAGTATTATCTGTCTCTAGTTTGCTAATACTTTTTCAGCAGCTAAAAATCATGATTATTTTGTAAATAAACAAATTTCAATTCCAGCTGGAGAGAGACATTCATGTATTTTATTTTACTTAGAAGAACTGTATAACAACGGGCAATAAACAACCTCACTTCAATAAATTAGATGATTCCTACACATAACTGGCAAAAGTGATGGTTACCTTCTTGTTATCATCTAGCACAGTATTCATGTTCTCTATCCAAACTGCGTCCACTGGGCCATCAAATATAATCCACTTGCGTTCATCAGAGGTTGAAGATGCTTGTTCTCTGAAGGCATTTGCAAGGACTCCATCTGTCCACTCATGGCTCACGGGGTCAAAACACCCATAGAGTTGTCCCATAGTAATAGCTTTGGGGTTAATAATTTTGTACTCGACAGCAAATTCATCCATGGATTTATCTGAGTACAAATTAAAACAAAAAGTTGACTTGAATAGCTAGAGAGAAAGTAAAAGGGCTTTAAAATTAGGTTTAGCAAATGAAGTATAGAAATGGAACATCCCTGATGGCCCCACTGTAACTGTCAAAGACAAAAGGACATGATATACCTATAAGGTAGCCAGCAGTGAGTAGCAACCTTTTTACTCAAACTTAGAGCATGTTCTTGCAAAAGGCAGGAGCAAGTTGCTGTATGCGAAAGCACAAGGTAAAAAAGAATGAACAGGGAAAAAGAGCAACAAATCTGTTCCTGCACTTGTAACAGCCCAGAATCTTTCTTTGGGAGTGGGTCAGTTAGGCAGAAAGGTGCCATTTTTGTTCCATCATTTTTCAGACAGATGTTATGCTTCAAGTAAATTATTTGATGAGACTACTCCTACCAGTTTTGCAAGACTATGAGGTATGAATATACTGCTTAATAAAATGTCTGAAACCAATAAAGTCGGTCAGACAATGGTGGGTTTCGAATCCTGTCCCTGGTTATCCAAACTCTCTTCTGTTCTTCAGCCGGGTAAGAATAAAAATAACAACCTGAACTTACATTCGTTAAACACCATCACTGGTCATAGAATTAACAGCTTTTTATGAGGGACCTTGGAGACAAGATTTCTATTTTTACCTGCATATAAATCACCAAGGGCTCCTGCTAGCACTTTAAAGGCACAGGTCTTTCCACCCATAGCATCACCAACAATCATGTATCCATGGCGCACCAGCATCATCTCATAAATCTGAATCAGTGACAAAAGGTTTATATGTTAATTTAACATATACAGAACAGAACGTAATGAGAGTAAAACTACATGACTCTCCTGAATTCTTGTACTATTGTGTAGGGACAACAGAATTGTCAATCCAGGGACAACCAGCTGCATCCTTGCTCTTAATCACACCCAGACAGACAGACAGACCAGCAGCTATGTGGGAACAGCTGCATGCAAGAAGTGATATGACAGCATTTGTCACTAAGTGGAGAGAGAAGCATGTAATAGTCTAGGGCAACTTTATCCAGATTGAAGTTGTTTACACCAAGGTAGGACTTTACATCATTTGTTCACTTCTATAAAGGGTGATTTTATCCAGTCCACTTGTTTAGGTGTCCCATGTCCAAGCTCTCAGTACATAAATGACACCGATTTAGGCCTTGTCTGCAGTAGAAAGTAGCACTGGGTGAGCTTCTATTTATTCTTAAACTGTTTGGTTAAACTATTATCATCCACTGTGAAGACATTCTCATTGAAATTTAAGAGTTGACTTTTCCTACCTTTAAATCAATTCCTAATCAGCTCAAGCTGTGCCCAAATAAGACTGAAGTAAACCCAAGTAAGAGCATCCACCCAGCCTTTTGCACCTGTTTAACTAACTCAGGTAAACCATGGAAAGTCTCATGTGGATAAGACCTGAGGCTTAGTCAGGTTCCACCAGTCTGACACTTGCCTATCCACCTGTCAGTTTTGCCACTTGCATATCACCCTGCTTTAGAGAGCTAAGTGTACAATGGTGCGACTTACTGGGCTGCATTGGTAGGTGTGTTGCCAGTAGGTCAAGGGAAGTGATTATTCCCCTCTATTCAGCACTGGTGAGGTCACATCTAGAGAACTGTGTTCAGTTTTGGGCCCCCCACTACAGAAACCATGTGGACAAATTGGAGAGAGTCCAGTGGAGGGCAGCAAAAATGGTGAGGGGGCTGGGGGACATGACTTATGAGGAAAGATTGAGGGAACTGGGTTTATTTAGTCTAGAAAAGAGGAGACAGAGGGGGATTTAATAGCAGTCTTAAACTACCTGAAGGGGAGCTACAAAGAGGATGGAGCTAGACTGTTCTCAGTGGTGGCAGATGACAGAACAAGGAGAAAAGGTCTCAAGTTGCACCAAGGGAAGTTTAGGTTAGATATTAGGAAGAATTTTCTCACTAGGAGGGTAGAGTAAAGCACTGGAACAGGTTACCCAGATAGGTGGTGAAAGCTCCATCCTTGGAGGTTTTCAAAACCCAGCTAGACAAAGCTTTGGCTGAGATGATCTAGTTGGGGATGGTCCTGCTTTGAGCAAGGGGCTGGACTAGATGATTTCCTGAGGTCCTTCCAACACTAATGTTCTATGATTCTATGAAACTAGGCAGAGTGAGTAAAAGACAATACCCCTGAGTGCTGGTAATACCACCACCTAGATCTCAAAACAATTTACATCAGAGGTCAACATCCTTATTAACATTTTAAAGATAGGGAAACTAAAGCAAAATTAGATTAACTGACTTGCCCAAGATCACTCAAAAGGTTAGACAGTCGTTTAAGTCCCAGTGCAGTGCTCTCTCCGATAGGCTACACTGTTTCCCTTAGTAAGAGATAGAATCTCATTGTCTGGACCAAGTTATATGGGTTAGGCTAGACTGAAAGTCTAGTACCCTTGCCACATGACCAGAAGCCTGACTAATTGCAATACTTACTGTTATCAGGATAGGTCTTTCCCTTCAGTGTTGTTACCTCCGAGGGGATTTTTTTTTTCATTTTGTAAGGTCAAGCTTTCTGTAACACCCTGTTAGCTAACAATTTAGGCACAAATAAGGCACTGAGACATGTGCTTTAAAGATGTATGTATAAAATAATCTACTTTGAGATGGTAATACTTAAAAAAATACCTGAATAATTTTTCCAATAAACCAAGGAACTGGTTGAAGATTCATTTTTTTAATATTTTCATTCAGTGCCTGGACAAACAGTTCATAGTCTGGTGTAGGAAGGACCACTCCAGGAAAGAGGTCAGATATGATACCCTGGTAAGAAAAAAATAACACAGAACTTCATGATAGAATAGCTTACTACAAATGAATGGCTAGAGCATAAAGTAAGATAAAAAGAATACTGATCATACAGGAAATTCAACTTTAAGGGGGAATGTTTTCAGCTGGACTGAGGGCTAACAAATAGGCAGGGATCCTGGTTTTCCGTTTCCCATGGAAAAACAGATAAAACCATGGACTTCCCCTTTTTATCAGAGAAAACGTGGATTTCTCCTTTTAGCAGAGAAACCCACAGATTCCCTGCTTTTGCAAACAGCTCTGCAGGCTGGTTGAGCTCCAGCCTGCAAGAGCTGTTTACAAACAGGGTGGGAAACCTGAAGTCCTGCCTGGAGCGGGAGGGGAAGGGGGAGGGCAACAGCCACTCAGTTCATGGCTCTCAGTTAGCCACAGCTCTGCTCAGCTCAGCTTCACTCTTTGCTCCTGGAGCCTGAGGTAAGTGGGGCTTGCAGGGGGTTGGGGGGCCCTCTGGCAGGGCTGAGGAGTTGAAGGTCACGGCTGGGGGGAGCCAGGAGCTGGGCCCACCCCCACCCAAGCAGGCAGAGCAGTGGGGGAGCTGGCTCCATGCTGCTTCTGCTGCAGCTGCCTGCTGTTGGGGGCGGGGGGGGCAGGGGCTGTGGGTGGGGACAAGAGACACAAGTAGGGCAGGTGGCTGTTGTGGGGCAGTGAGGGGCTGGGGGGGCTGCAGGGGGCTTTTAATTTTAATAATGGATTTGGGGGGTTTTAATCAGAGAATTTGCAATTTTTTGTCAGAGAATTTGTGATTTTTTAATCAGAGAAAACCAAAATCCCTGCTCATAGGCACAAACTGCAGTCACAAATTTGGACCCAAAGATATTTGAATGCGCAAATCTTAGTACTTGCACCTATAAATAACTCATGTATGTCCACAATCAAATATTGGAGAATGTAAGCTGTACAGCAGAAATACATGAATTAGTGTCATACACAGACACAAATTGTATCTGCCAAAGTAGCTCAACACAGAAATTTTGCCTTTGAATTCACTGGAGGAGCAAGGGAAGAGATGAAATGATTAAACGGGAAGATATGGTTCTGTTCTTTCACAGTGGTGACTTTGTGGGTAGGTATCATGTGTAGTCCAGATTTTAGGTCCTTATAATCAATACTGATGGTCCAGAGCTCAATACATTTGTTATCCTCCTCTCAAGAAGCAGCAGAGTCAGAGCAATTTCACTTTGCCTTAACAGGTCATTTTTACTGCTTTTAATTTAACTTGCTGACCGTGTTTACAACACCAAGCCAAGATATAAAATTTACAAAGAATAGTTTCCATTCAGAGGAATTGATGGAGTTTCTATATGAAGTGCCATTAACATGACACCTTGCAACATTTCACAAGGTAACTTAAAAGACATTGCTATAAGCCTGTTTTTAAAAATTAAATTAGGAGTCAAGTCATGCCCTCAGATTATTTCTCTGATTGTAGTAGGATATTATCAATACAAATAAGGACAGAGTTTGGGCTGAATTGATTTAAATTAAGGTAATGGTCTGGCTTGGTTTATCATGGCCGTCCATCTGTCTATTTATCTAAGCTCATAAAGCAGCAGTCAAAGCTATAGTGTTTAAATGCATCCGCTTGATACCATACCTGAAACAGAGGCACATCCTGTGCCAAAAATTTAGCTAAGTTCACATCTAGCAAAGCACGAAGTAATAAGACACTTTCATTTTCTTCTGGGTACTTTAGTTTTAAGTTTCCAGCTGCTGTCAAGACAGATTTAACAGCACGCATTCCATAGTCATAGTGATGCTGAGATGACAGTTGCTCAGAGCAAAGACGGTAGGTGGCAACAATTTTTTGGGCAAGGCTGTGGATATTAAAATATCACACATGAAATGCAAATATCATGGCTAATATGTAAATTGTTTAGATACCCCAAATCCAGATGCTCAAATGAATGGTACAATGTCAGTTTACACAAAATTACCTAAATACATATGGAATTCAAAGTAGTATAGTCAAGCCCACAAGATGCCATGGGCTGGCTAATCACTACTGTCAGTTAGCAGGACTAATTAGTCCCAACATTTCACAGACATGGCTACACTGCTTCTGGTCAGGAAGCAACATGCGCAGAGCAGCACAGTGTGTTTGAGGGTATAGGTATTAGGCACAATAACTGTTCAGTCTAGACACATCCAGAAATACATAGGAAGCTTTTAGTTTTTATAGCAAGGGGGTTTAGCTTAGAATCAGCTTAGGTTAGAAGAAGCAAGTTGTACTGGGAAGACTCCAGGAGCTCCAAAGATGGATCTTGGACCACAACAGAGCCCGACCGCAGCCAAAGAATGCCCTGGAGATGTAAGGAAACTGGGGCAGGGAAGTGGATGCTGGATTTATTATTTTTGCCTGGATTTCTGCGTTTCTCATGCCCTTAATAGCAATGTCAGAACCCCTCTCAAATGCCTATCTGTTTGTGTGTTGTATGTATTTGCTTACACCTAACTCATGCCCCTAAAGAGTTAATCTGTTGCGCACATGGCTGGAGTTCTGGGAGCCATTGGGTGCGACTACACAAGATGCTTTACTAAGCATTAGACTAATCAAATGCACAGTAAAGCACCACCATTTATACAGGTGCATCAATTACTGTGCATTAACTTAGTCTAATGTGTCATTTGTTAGTACCAATACATACAGGCACTAGAAAAACAGCACATTGGGAAAAACTAGAAGTAATGGTCACAGTCTGGACACCCTAGTTGTGAAGTAGTTTTTCCTAATGTTGAGCCTGAAATGAGTCTGAAACGATCTTCCAGGAGTTTGTGACCGTTACTTCTAGTTTTCCCCAAGGGTGCCCTGGTGAACAGTTGTTAACTGAGCCCCAGATGTACACTTCTGATGTAGCGGTAAGCTGCTACCAAGTCCCCTCTCAGCCTTCTCTTTTTCAGGCCAAAGAGTCCCAGGTCCCACAGCCTTTTCTCATATGGCTTGCCTTGCAAGTCTCTGATCATACAAATGGCCCTTCTCTGGACTCTCTTAAGCTTTACCACGTCCTTGTTAAGGTGCATAGCCCAGAACTGGATACAGTACTCCAGCTGCGATCTCACCAGTGCTGAGTAGAGCCGAGTAGAGCAGGAGAATCACCTCTTTGCAATGGTTTTGCTGGAGATGCATCAATTGATGCATGCCAGTGTATTGTTGGCCCTGCTGGCTACAGCATCACACTGCCGGCTCATGTTCATACTGTGGTCAATTATTACCCTCAGGTGACAAGTGATGGGGGATCTTCAGTCCTGCTGCCTGATGAGAGGCAGCAGTTGCACAGGCACCCATGACACGAGTTTTGCCTGTGAGCAGCTAGGGTTGCAGGGCCCCAGAACCCCCCTGCACCGATCTCCTTGACAGCTGGCAGGCTTAGTGGCTGCAGCAGGGCCTAGCAGCCAGGCCTGCAGTGGTTCCCCCTGCCCCAAGACAGACACAGTTGCATAAGCACCCATGAAATGAGTTTTGCCTGCCTGTGGCCAGAGGTGCAGGGCACCAAAACCCAGAACCCCTGTACCTATCTCATTGACAGCTGGCAGGCTTTGTGGCCTCAGCAGGGGCTAACAGGCCTGCAGCTTTCACCCTGCTAAGCCTTAACACAAACAGCGTCACCCATGTCACAAGTTTTGCTTGTCCGCAGCTTGAAGTGCAGTTTCCCCCAAACTCCTGTACCTATCTCCTCAAAACTTGGCAGGCTTCATGGCCTCAGCAGGGGCTGCAGTTTTGACTCATGTGACGTGAGTTTTTGAGTTTTGCTTTCAAAATTTTGGGGTGCAATTTCTCCAAACCCCCTACACCGATCTCCTTGAAACTTAGCAGGCTTTGTGGCCTCCACAGGGGCTAGCATGCCTGCAGTTTTGACCCCACTGTGTCTTAACACATACATGTGACACAAGTTTTGCTTTCAGAATTTTGGGGTGCAGTTTCTCTGAACCCCCTGCACCTAACCTATCTCCTTGAAACTTGGCAGGCTTTGTTGCCTCAGCAGGGGCTACCATTCCTGTAGTTTTGATCCCACTGTGGCGTAACATGTACACGTGACATGAGTTTTTCTCTCAAGACTTTGGGGCGCAGTTTCTCAGAATGCCTAGCATATATCTTCTTGAAACATGGCATGCTTTATGCCCTCAGAAGGGACTACCATTCCTGCAAGTTTCATCCAAATCCAACCAGAAATGACAAAGTTATAGCCTGTTACAACCTTCCCCATTATATACTATGGGCGAAACATCAAAACTGGGTCGAAACGGCAAAACGTTCTGGCGGAACAAAACGGAACAGCCGTTTCAACTTAAAACAAAAGTTGAAATGAAAAACTGTTCCGTCGAAACGCTGAAACGCTGGTCGAAACAGAACACTTCCGTTTCACACAGCCCCAATGGAAATGTTGTTTCCCTATTTATATACCACTGCTGTACATAAAACTTTATTTTCACTCCTATGCCAAGTACTACTAGACAGTCTGTGTACCACATACAGAAGTTTAAATAATGTAGTCCTTTTGCTGGCTCTGTGCTCAGAAATGCATCTCACTCATAGCAGCAAACGCTAGCAACAGACACTGCATCTGTCCCTGAACAAGTTATGCTGGTGTTTGTCCCAGAATAGGTAAATTGCAGGACTGGCATGCACAGCCTTCTAACAAACCCTTCTAAATACTGTTTAATGAGTGGCTGAACGCACTGCTGCTTTTCTGCCATTGACCCAATGATGCAATCCCAGAATAACCATTCTGGTGCATTTCACACTGCCCCAGGACAAACTGCTAGCACTTTATATCCTGCAAACTTTTTAGGGTTTGTTTAGGGGCAATGGATGTGGACGTCTGAACAATCACACTTTGCCCTGGGGAAAATAGTTTCTTCAAAGACAAAAGTAACGTCTGTTCACAGCCAAAGATTTATAACAGGTAACACTGCACTTGTCATGTGTTTTTGTTGTTGTACAAAGTATGATCAGAGTCATGTGGCTTGTGCTTTGCAGAAGTATCAGAATGGATTATCAAAAAAATGTACCTTAAATTAAGCATTTTCAAAGAAACGCAAGTGAATTTTGTTGCCTGATTTTCACTGATATTAATACTTGCCTGGGAAAAGAGTTCAAAAATGTAGTCCAAGGGATTTGTAGAAACATCACCGCCCACTCACAGTTGGGAAGCATTTTTGCAAGTGGAAATTCCAACCTGACTTACCTTCTAGAGTCCAAAAATCCCATTGAATAAAGTGAAATTTCACCAATCAAAGCATAATCTGGAACCATCATAGCAACTGTTCGGAACAATGCCTATGAGAAAAAATATAATTAGAAAAAGGTAGACCAGACATTAAGGCAGTTACTTCTATTAGTTTATAGGCACAGTATTCGTCTGTAAATTCAAAGCGTTTTGTCATTTGCTTTCAATGCAAAACACTGGAGTCAATTCAAAGATCACAAGACTGCAACATTGCTGCTGTTATGTATTATGATGGTGCTGTCAAGAGAGTCTGGCTACAATGCTGAGAACTTCCCATGGTGGCACCCAAGTGCCACATGACAGCTACAGCACTGGAGTCCCAGCAGCACCATGGGAAGAAGCCTGATACCACAGGCACTTGGCTGCCACCACAGGAACAAGCCACAGTACTGCCGAGGCTCCAACACCGCAGACCTTGGTCTTCCCCAGGTGTTTCGCTGCAACCAAAGGAAAATCCCTCCATTGCAGCCAGAGTCAGGGCAAAAGTCTTCAGGCTGGATGACCCAGCTCTCTGAGCCAGATCTGGCCTAGTGTCCATATGTTTGACACCCCCGCTGTAAACCCTAATGTGAACTCTTCTTATTCATGTGAGTTCTCCTATTGACTACAGCAGAACTAAGCACAAGAGAAGGCGTTCCTGTGTAAATTAGAAGAAACTCCACTAAAGTTAACAGAGTTAACCAGCATAATACTGGTAGAAGCAAGATCAGACTCAGATCTATTGTCCATATTTTCAGGGCAACACTAAACACATTATTATAACATAACAAATAGTGCATCAAAATAAGAACACTTTAATAGCATTGCATCATTATGTTACATGGTTACTTTTCCACTATCTTTACTATGTTAGAATACAAGCTGCAAATTCCGCTCCATTTTCACAAGAAATCAAAACACCAGATTAACCTTTAGATTATCAGGAAGCTCTGCCCGTCCTGCATACCCAGGATTCATAGTGATGAAGACAGCACAGGTTGGATTAAGGGACAATTCTGTGCCTTCAAAGATGAAAGTCTTCAATTTTCGAATAATAGCCTGTTGTATGCTGAGGATCTGTTGTGCCACGACAGACAAGACTTCAACCTGATGATAAGAAAGAAAATTTAAAAACCTCCAACTTTTCATACCTCTAGCCAACATAAAAGCAGAATTTATTGGGAAAAAAAGATTTTTTATAGCTTAATGGCTTTATGATTGCCTAAAGATAGAAATCAGACTGTACCTGGACCCATCAGAATGAAATAATTTCAGAAAATTACTATGCTTGCTTTTAACATTGGTAGGGAAACTGACTAAAATAATCTACATAATCAAAACACAAAGGTGACAGAACAAACTACAGAACACTAGAATACAGATTATGGATGATATTTTCCAAAGTATCAACATTATGCTTTCAAGGAAGTTGGTTGTAGAACTCATATAGAAGTCTATGAAAGAATAGTTAGGACAGTGCTGAATGCATTTAAAAATCCCATATAAGAGACATTAGAGTAAGAATAATTGAGAACAGTCCTTAAAATTAAAAACAAGGGATTCAAATTTTCACAAAGAAATACATATAAGATGTGTACATGCTATACAACAGGAGTGCATGCAGTTTAATGCACGTAACCTGAGCCTAAATTGCAAGCTATCCTAAAAACAAGAAACTACGTTCATATCTAACTCTAAAGCTACGCTTTCAATTTGTAACTGCTGTTTTAACTACCTTAACTAAAAAGTTACCTCAATCCTGTTGAACTCATCAAAGCAGGCCCAAGCTCCAGACTGTGCCAGTCCCTTAAAGAACTTACCCATGGCTTTATAATCAAGACCATCAGAGCAGTTAAAGACAACACACTGCAAGAAAGAAAGAAATACATACACACAACACCATTTAGTGTTAAGGTAAAATTCATTACAGAATTCTTGGCTTGTGTAAACAGAGCTGGGTGACTACTGCCAAGATAACTGGTCAAGTAGGATGCCATACACCGGGGCGGGCAAAATATGGCCCGCGAGCCGGATCCAGCCCACCAGGTAATTTTATCTGGCCCGTGGGCGGGTGCCTACCAATTCATTGTATCCAGCCTGCCCCAGGCTGCCCCTGCTGTACTTGCATGGAGCTGAGCCACACTCACTTCCATGACAACAGCCTGCACTGCACGCTTACCCACAGGACGGCCCTGACCCCAGCCCTGCAGGTAAGGAAGCAGTGGTAGAGGGCAGGGGGTGGCAGCAGCGGGTCAGGGGCAGGAAGGAAGGGAAGTGGCAGCAGTGAGAGGCGGGCTGAAAGTGGTGGTGACAGGCGAGGGCATGGAAATGGTGGTGGCGGGCAGGTGGGGAAAGCGGTAACAGCAGTGGTAGCTGGCAGGGGGAAACGGCAGCAAGCAGGCAGGCGGGAGGGAGGGAAAGAAGTGGTGGCAGGTAGGAGTGAAGCAGCAGCTGGGCAGGAGCGCGGGGCCCATACCGGTGCCCAGGGGCTGGTGGGAGCCCAGGGTCCAGAGGAAGGAGTGTGGAGCCCAGACTGGCAGGGGTGCAGGGTCCACCTGGCTCCATGCAGGGCTCACCAGGGCTCACGTACAGTGCCTGTGTTCTCCACCTGAGCCATGCACCTCCAAGGGGAGTCCCGCATGATGGAGCTGATGTCCCAGCCCCACTCAGTGCCACGTGCAGGTCATGTGGAACAGCAGGGAGCTTCACGCTATGGAGCCAGGCTGATTCTGCCCCTCTTTCTGTCACCCAAGCTGAGCCCCATAACCTGCACTGCAGGCTTCATCACACAGGACACCCCACCAGCGGCACGGGGCATGGGCAGAAAACCTGTGAACTGCATATGAGCCATGTGCAATGGAGCCAGCAGCTTGGCCACATCCAGTCCTGGGGCTCGCCGGGACCACGCACCACAAGGAGGCTCTGCCTGCTGCAGGTCATGAGTGCCCCGATGGCCCACTGCCTGCTGGTGCCACTGGCAGCAGGGGCTGTGCTCAATGGCAAGGGGGCGTGTGTGAGGAGGGTGTGTTTGTAGGGGGGGGGCCCACACACACACACCCCACCATACACATGCACCCATCTCCCCCACCCACACCTCATATCCCCTAGTCGCACACTGCCACACAACCTCCCCCTCCACATACCCCAGAACCCCGCCATATATCCACAGCCCCCATACCCACACATCCCTACAAGCAACCCCCCTAGAAACTCCACACACCCACAGCTCCCCAGAAACCCCATACTGACCCACCCACATCCACACCCCCACATATCCACATACACCCACACCCTGCATACACACACACACCCACACACACAGCCCCCCACAAACCCCATACCCACCCACCCATACCCCCTCCACAATATAAAAAAGTAAGACTTCATTTTGAGCTATTACGCAATCACCTCTATATACACTATGCAAGCACACACAAATCAGGACAAAATTGGCTTTTTAAAATAAAATTAAAACACATTATAGTAGATGTTTGATTTTTAGTATATATATTTTTTCTGGTTCCGAGATGCTGCCCGCCCCCCACAAAAAGAAGTACTTCCGGGGGCAAGGGGAGGGACTTCTGGTGACAAAGGTCAGGGGTTATGGGCAGGAGATCCGGCCTCAAGACGGCAACCAGGCAACAGGGCACCTGTCAAGGGGCAAGGCTACCCTTATGGCCCTCAACAGCTCACCAAAACTTATTAAGGGGCCCTCCAGCTGAAATAACTGCCCACCCCTGCCACACACACACACACACACTAAATGCAATATTTCCTTTAGCAATCTCAGTGGAAGGGCAAATTGAACAAATGCCAATTTGAGAAAGGAACTTCCAAGAATATTTGTGTCTCCAAATACAAACAATGTAATGCAACATTTCATTTGTTTTAGTACCTGTTTAGCTAGTGCTTTTGCAAGATCTTTTGTTGTCTCTGTTTTGCCAGTCCCTGCAGGTCCTTCTGGAGCACCACCAAGATTTAATTTCAAAGCACCCATTAATGTTCTACAGAAGGAAATAGAAACAACAATCACAGAATCATCAAAACTCAAAAAGAATATACAATCATAGACAGTCATTAGTAGTTCTTAAAACTGTTGGCTAGATTTTCACCAAATATAAATTAATATTGCTTCATAGATTTCACAGACACTTGCTGATGCTTTGCCTCTCCATTATTACCAGGAGACCTTTTATTTGACTAGCTTGTCATCCAACCCTATCCTCAGCATTGACTTATGGGGCCAGAAGCTATTAAAAATATATCAAATACATCAAAAATAAAATTCAAATCCAGACCTAAATGAACCTTTTAAAACATAATTTACTTCTTAAGCAGATGACACCAATATGTGAGGCAAGCCAGTAAAAGCCAAACCTTTTAACCTCAAGTGGCACCCACAATGTCAGGTGTGGGAACCTGACATCTGAAATCGAATTTAGCATGATAAGTAAACAACACTCTGACTCGACTCTGCTCTACTTCTCAAGCAAGGTTTGGTGATGCAGTTGAACCCCACTTTAATTCTTGCTCCACTCAAAGTCCAAAATAAATTGCTCAGCAGTAACAGATGCATTTCTGTTCAGGCAGAACTCAGAAAGTCAGGTGATTTCATAGTTCATTATTGTGTACTTGATCCCCGCTAATCCCTTCACTTTGTATGTGTTAACGACTCTTGTTCTTTCATTAATCAAGCTATCCTTTCTATTACAATTATCCTGTTTGTTATCTACTCCTGGTAATGTTTCTCTGCTCACCAGCAGCATGTCCAATAAACTTGTGCCCTATGGACCTGTACTGGATAGGTTTATTCCTAGGGGATTCAAACCCAAAACAAATAAGAGAGACAAGGAGAGGAGGGGCAGGGCTGAAGGCAGGTTGAGCTGTGTGGTAAGACAGCAGTCAGAGGCAGGAGGGAACTGCAAAGGTGAAGTGAAAAGGTAAATTACTGTAGAGATGCTTTCCTGGATTATTCATTGCAGCAGATGACAAAGGCTGAACCAGTGGCACAACCAAGGCAGCACAGGGCTAGGTGCAGGTGGATCCAGAGAGGTTGGTCACTCTGGGTAGGAGTGCTATAAGTGGTTGGAACAAGTGCTCCTTCAGCCCTAAATGTGTAGGTTGGGGATGCACATCCTCAGGAACTTGTTTTCCCCCAAGAACCAAAACTGCCCCCCACCCGCATTGTTTGGTCCCCCCAGGATTCCTTCCCCCTCCCCCTAGCAAGACATTCACTATGGGTTCTGGGCAAGGGAAGAGGTTGGGGTGTTATGAGTATGTGAGGGGCACATGGGGTTTTCATCTGAGCAGAGTGGTGGGAGTCATGGGGGTGAATAGGATATAAGACAGTTGGGAACAAGAGAAATTGTAGGTGAGGAGGGCCCAGAGGCTGTGAGAGGCTGCAGTGAAGTCTGGGTGCTTAGAGGGGGTCAGGGGGATGGTGAGAGACCAAGAGGGCTGGGGTATGATAGGAATGGGTCTGTGCAGTGAGGTCATGGGGGCAGGGTACAACTCTGTGAAGCATGAGGGTGATGGTGGGATCTGACAGGACTTGGGGCATGATGGGGTGGGACTGGACATGGAGGATATGTGGGATGACAGGGGACAGAGTAGAGCCAGGGAGCATTTGAAGTGGAAGGTACAATGCAGAAAATGGCAGTGAGAGGCACTTTGGGGCCATGGTGGAGTATCTGGGGGTGCAGGGAGCAATTTTGTCTGTAGCTAGACTGGGGAGTAACAGATGCCTGGCATACCCTGAAGTTGGCAATCAGGCCCTCACAAGCCCATTTATATTCATTTGTGCTTGAATGCTAAACTAAATAAAGCCCTATGCAGCTAGCAAATTAGTAAAGTTTCTTGTTGCTTTTTAATTGGAGAAAAATGTGTGTTGTATTATATGACAATGCGTCACAGCATCTGCACCACCCCCTTACAAAATTCTAGATCTGCCTATGCTACTACTTGATAAATAAAGTAAACCTTGGAAATGCTTAAACAGGTTGGAAATTGTTCCCCTTTGTTCTCTTTCTATGGCTCAATGATTTCCATACTAAAAGCTTGCTCCCCATTAAAGAGTTCTGAATCCAGAAAGAGCCCTTGGTGCCTTGACTATGCTAGAAAAAATTATGTTGCAGAAAGTATTTTTAAATGATGCTGAACAAGGTCTGTCCTGCACTACGGATGCAATTAAAATATGTTTGGCAGCAATCCAGATGCACCCACTGTTAGCAGTGGATAACTTCCCTACAGTTAACATCGCCTAAGAGTAATGACCACAGTCAGATTTAGAGCCAATATATCAACTGCGTGGCTCTATTCTACACTGCTGCAAAGGCCAATTTACAGCTCAAGGAGAAGTGTTCACATTTACAGATAATGGAAGAACTTGAGCATAACACAGAGGTGACCATGAGTTCATGACTCCAAAGCTCCTAAAGCAAAATCTTTACATCCTCACTATAAATTTGTCTGGAGGAATTCTAGGGAAAGCTCTTTAAGACACAGACCTAAAAATTAACTGCTGCAATTATTTGTGACTTGTGCAAGCTTCAAGGGCATTACCAAATCCTCATGGGGGATGAAGTATTTTCATTTCAGCCTCTTTCAAGCAAGTAGTGGAATTAGAAGCTAACTGTGGTCACACATCTGTGAATGGCTCTATAATTGCCTCATTTATTTTACAGTCAGAGACACCCCACCTATATATTTTATTCCAAAGAAATGAATTGACTTGTTCAGCTACACAAGTCCTCAACAGTTCTATTACTACAAGCTGCCATTTTTTTAGAAGATAAAAATTACTCTGCAGGCCTTGGAATCTGCATACCATAAATATTTTACCATGTTTGGGCAACAGTATATCTATAATCTTTCTATAAAACAAAGGAGAAAATGAAACTATTGATGTTCTTTTCATTAGCAACTGTTACAATATATGGAAAATACATGCCAGTTAGAAAGTAAATGCTTTATTTATAGACAATGCAAATTTTACCTATAGCATCGATCAGTCAGCGGAGTTATAACCAAGCGAAGAGAATTGCCTAGGTATTCATAGCCATATCCAGCTTCTGTTGTAATCATTCGTACCACTACTTCTCCCTCCTCCCAGTAATATCTCAGCTGAGAAATCCACTGGAAATCATTCAGATCTGTGACCTTGTCCTCAGCCAATTTTGCAACCACATCACGAGCTGCAACAAGATAGCTCATATAGTAAAAACTTATACACAGAAAATGAACATTTATAGCAACTGATTTGGTCTCATTTTGGAAAGGAAGCTGCATCATTTTTGCTTAGTAATTAGCAGGGATCCTGGTTTTCTGTTTTCCACGGAAAAAGAGAAAACCACAGATTTCCCATTTTTATGAAACCCACGGTTTTCCCTCTTTTGCAAAGAGCTCTGCAAGCTGGCTGAGTTCCAGCCTCCAGGAGCTGTTTGCAAAAGGGGTGGGGAAACCCTCAACCCTGCTGGGAGGGGAAGGGAGAGGAGAAGGGCAGAGCCCAACACTCACGCTTACCAGAGGCTGCTTCAGGCTCACTCTTTTTGCTGGAGGTAAGCAGGTCTTGAGGGTTGCAGGGCAGGGCTGGGGGGAAGCTGGCTAGGGGCTGAGGGAGCTGGGAGTTTTGCAGCCAGCCAGGCACTCTGGCTGAGAGAGGGGGTTTCCAGACAGCCGAGCGCTCTGGCTGGGAGCAGGCAGGCTGCAAACCCCCCCCCAGCCGGTGTGCCCAGCCAGCTGTAAACCATGGGTCACAAACGCTGCCCTCCCCCAGGCTCTTCAGGGTGCAGCATGTGCGACTGGCGCGGCAGGGCACAGCGGGGCCATGCACGAAACCCCCCAGGAGTGCACACTGCCACTGGGAGCTGGCCCCACCCAAGCCTGCAGCAGGCAGCAGTGGGGGAGCTGGCTCCTGCTCCTGCTGTAGCAGCTGCTGTGTTCCATTGGGGGCTCCTGCTCCTGCTCCTGCTGTGGCAGCTGGGGGGCAGGGGCTGTGGGTGAGGGACAAGGGGCACAAGCAGGGCTGGGGGCTGTGGGGGGGAGTGAGAGACACCAGCAGGGCTGTGGGGGGCATTTAATTTTAACCACAGATTTTGGGATTTTTATCAGAGAATTTGTGATTTTTTTATCACGGAAAACAGGATCCTGGTAATTAGACTTAGTTTTATCCAGAATCCAATGCTCAGTCTGAGCAGCCAAGATAGGTACTGAGGAGTTGTGCAGGGCCAGAAATGTACCGCATAGGCTCTGTACCACGCAGAGGTTGCATACATCCCACATCTTTTTCCTTCCCCCAGCCCACCTCCACTGAACAGCAGGATTGTGGGGAGGGGGAGGGGGGCAGGGGAATGGATGGCAGGTCAGGCCCCGCTATCCCCAGGCTGTACAGCAAGAAGAGAAAAGCCCCGGTGGTGGGAGGTTTTTACTCCTCCCATTGCAGCCCAGCAAACCAGGCAGAGATCAGCTCAGCCCTACCATCTCTCCCGCCTCCACCTCTGCTTCTGCCTAGCATTTGCTCCCCTAGCTGGAGTCTGGGGGGAGAGGAGGAAGCCCCCACCCAGGAGCTTCTCACCTGCCCCCCTGCAGCTGAGAGAGGCTGGGATTGGCTCAAACCCGCCCCCTCCTCAGCCATCCACATCCTAGGTCAGTGGGGGGAGGCAAGGTGGGAATGCACCCCCCAACTGAGATCTGCCCAGAGTGTGGGGGGAAAATCACCCACCACAGGAGCTTTTCACTACCCCCCAGCTCAAGCTGGGCTGGGATCCCCCAAACCCACCCCTTCACCAGCCATCACCTCGGGGGGGCGGGGGATGGACCCCCACCCCCTCCTCAGCCATGTGGGTGCTTTCCCCTCCATGCTGGGCAGACCTCAACTGGGGCGGGGAGGGCTGGTACAGGGGTGGGGGAGCAGTATGTTTCCCCCCTCCCCTCTCCTGGAAGCCAACAGCTGGGGAAGGGTTGGTGCTGGGGTGAGCCCAGGCCAGCTGGGAGCTGGGGGGGTGAGGGGAGGGAGTGCTTCTTGTCCCTCTCCCCTCTGTACCCCATAGACCCTGGCTGCCAAACAGGCCTAGGCTGCTGGGTCAGCAGACTTGGGCATCCTGGCCATAGGGGGCGGTGCACATGAGTGCCCCCAAGCTCCTGGCCTGGGCCAGTGCAGGCTTGGTCCCCCAAAGCACTGAACATCAGTTCAGTTTGTTACTGGTTCAATCTAGGCAGCTTAGAAAAAACTACAAAGATTGAATCAATTTTGCCTCAGGTTTTTTGAACCTGTGTACTTACCACTGCCTCCCCCCAGCTTACCGGGCTGAATTCTCCCCGTGCCAAAGTTCTACAAGGTGCCGCAGAGAAGCAGGGGGACTGTCAGAGAGCTGGGGTGCAGTTCCCTGTCATAAGGCCCATCTGTGACTTTATGCAAATGGTGGATGGGTTTAGCAGAGGTCTGCTCCACCAAACTCCCTTTCCTGCCCAGACGGACTCCTCCTTTCCCCTACTCTGGAGATGGGCTGAAGCTCACACTCCAGGCAAATATGCTGCTCCCACCAGCCCAGCCATGAGTTCCCCTCTGCAAAAAGAAGCCTCCACTGCCCTCCTCCAGCCAGAGCACAATCACTTTCTGCCACTTCAGGAGTGTACCGTGGCATAGTACACTGGAATTCTCCCCTGTGAGATTGCAAGTTGCCTCCCCATCCATCAGCTGATGAAAAGGGCAAGGAGAACTGTCTAAGAGGTGTTAAGATTACATAGCCAAAAAGGCTGCTGGAGGTTGCTCAGGCTACAAGCTCAAATCATTACTTATCTGGCCCATGAGTACAAGCTGGCTTTGCACATCCAGCTTTTGTCTCATGTGAATTAGCAAATGAAAATGATTACTATAATCCTTTAACTCATTCTCCAGGATGTAACTTTTGCTGCAGGAAGCATCCCAGCTGCCTCCTTCAGATAATTTGCTTCATTTAATGATAGCAATTCTGCTTTGACTGTAACGAGAGCAGCAGTCACGCATTTACCATGCACATCAATGACAGTGAGAGCCCCCAGAGTGAGACGGGCGCCACTGGACAGCTTTCCTCTCACTAATTCAACAATTTCTCCAATTTGGTGGTTGCTCTTCTCCAAAAAATCCTGTTAGAGGAATAAGATGTGAGCATTAATGAAATGTGATAGCAAACAGCCCCAGAACTCCCAGGGGTGTAAGTCATTAGAAAAAAACTCTTAAAACAAGATGAGGCAGATCAGTAGTGCCTCCTTGGCACCATATAGACACTTAAGAGTCTTCTTCATCTATTGCCATTTTATTTTACCAGAAGCACTCAGAAGAGCTTTATGGTCTGAAAATTATGGTAATGGAAACCTTCTCTCTCTCCCTAAATCAAATGACAAGTCTCTGTTCCAGGAGATATGTAGATACTCTCTATTGAGTAAAACTGGATGAAACTTCTTAAAATAGGCATTCAGCAAAAGTTAAGATTTTCCTGAAATTCTGTTTTATTTGAAATTATTTGCCAACTGTTTCTACTACTAATTTTTGGTCTGTGGGCAGTTTCTTGAAAATATTCAGTATTTTAAATTCAACCAATTTTAACAGGACACAAGGGACCAGATTCCCCACTGGTGTAAATACAAATAGTTCCACAGAAGCCCTGATGGGCTTTGTGTCCTATATGTTTGAGTATAAGCACCAGAATATAGCTGCTTGTATAATAAACTACTGAAAATTTGCCTTTTCCATGAAAATTCCTGCCAAGAGACTCATTTGACAGAAGAGCCCCAGAAAGCAAACACAGACAGAAAGAGCATGAAGGCAGCCAAAGTAAATACATTTAAAAGATCACGTAATTATTCCTAGAAAAAACCTTGCTGTATTCGTCCGCCTCTACTTGGGTCTGACCAAAAAACCACAGATGGTCTTTCCATTACTGCAGTGTGCTTTGGGTCAGCCCTCCATGAGGAAATGCACAAGACTGCAGTGATCATGGATGAACTGCAAACACTTAAAAGGGAAGGTTCTTTTGTGAGGGCTAACATAAAGCTATCACAACCAGCCCAAGTATCTTTATCAGATGGAGAAATCAGCAATAACCAGAGCCACTTAACTACTCAATCCTGCAAACAGTTGCTCCCTCATATTCATCCCATTGGGACAAAGCATGAGAATAAGCATACACACAGGAGTGGCATTTTCCAGAACCTGGCACTAGTTTGAAGCTTTCTGTCTGACTCCTTTATTCACACATGCAAGAATAATATGAACTCAGTGAAGTTACTCTTATTTACACAAAGGTAAGGAAAATCAGAATCAGTTCCATAACAGTACAGGAAACATAAGGAAATACAGATTGCAAGAGTGAATGCAAAGGAAAGGTCAACACAGGTAGAAGTTGCAAAGAATACTTCACTAAAAAATACTGTTATTGTTTAAGTCAACAGGAAAAGTCAGATTTTATACATTCAAACATACGTAACAGTTTGATGTGGGGAGAGTTCTAAACATCATGCAGGATTTAATATGGAATTATAAGAAAACCTTACAGGCAATGTTCCTCTTTTGATAGCTTCAGACACTTCTTTTGTCCAGTAGATAGATGAAACACAGATAACCACCTGTCCAGGACAGTGAAGTACCCACTTTTTTCGGGGAATCTTTTAAAAAATAATAAACAATTTTACTTCAATTAAAGTAGATGCAAGTGTTTTACTCAATGCAACTAACTTCAGACAGAAGGAGTCTAAGGACATCCCAGCTATGCAGAATTCGATACCTGTACAAGTACAGATTACTTTCAAGATCTACTTTATGCTGTAAATATTTTATATATAGACAGAGAACAAATGTAGATAATTACTTGAACATATTCTGCAATGCCATCTTGAATAACTTGTCTTACACTGCCCAGCATCATTTCCTCTACTTGCAAAAGCCATTTCTCTACCATGCCCTTAAAACAAACAAAAATAGATTAAAGTGAAAATGGGAAAATGAAATAGGCTTAAACCACATGAGCTGAATCATGCATGCTTTTTCTGCTCTGGTGAAGACCAGATAAAATGGACTAAAGGATTCAAAAAAGGACCATAAGCACTGATGACTACAGTACAGAAGTACATACAAGAAGGCAAACCAAGCTAACTCCACAGGCATAGGTAGTTTCATTATAAGAAGACAGTGGGATATATACAGGCACAGAATGGAAATGTAGCCCTGAGAGGGCAAACCAACATGATTGTAATACCAAGGGGCACTTTGCTCCTGGATGATGTGGCCAAAAGATTGCTATACAGTACATCCCACATCTTTTCTCTCTGTAAATCCCATCCAGCACCTATCTGCATCTCTATCAGCACATCTACATAAGATGAGTTAATGCACATTAACCTAATTTAATGTGCATTACGGGCATGCATCTATATGTGTGTGCCTTTAATGTGCATTAAAAATGGTGAGATTGGCTAATCATGCCTCCATTTGATACCTGTAGGTATCAAATGTAGGCGTGATTAGTTAAACTGCATTAATGCATGTGTAGATGCAACACGGCACTAACTTTAGTGCTGGGTCTGCCCAGCTACTAGGAGTACACAGAAGGGCTGGAGGGACTTGGCACTAACTTTAGTGCCAAGTACCTGCACATGTAGACACCTGCCAAAAATTGCTTCATGCACATTAGCTTAATATGCATTACATTTAAGCATGCTTAAATGCACATGTAGATGCTCCCTGTGTAGCCTAAATACCTTTAAAAACCTGCCTGCCATCTTGTTTAATGCTGACTTCCCCAAAAGCACATGCTTTACAATCAAAATAGGTTATAATTAAAAAAATTACTTTTGCTTTCACTGGGTAAATTTTTTCTATGAAGGGAACAGTTTCTTTCTCTGAACTGATCATGCCCGTGATCTCCAAGTCTTCTGTAAACTCCAATTTAGCAATTCCCTCAAAACACTTCTTCAAGTGTGGCTGGACTCGAAGGGGATCTTTAGTTTCTGACAAAATCTCAAGCAGCTCATCGTTAGACAAGAAAAAGAATCTGTTAAAAGATTTAAAAGTACACAAAAACATTTCAAATATAGAAATAGTCATCCAAGAAGCTACAGGATTAGAGTGTGAATTTGCTTTAACTCTTTACATTAGAAAAACTTATCCCAACAGTCATATTGTAGTGTTGTAGCTGTGATGGTCCAGAGAAGAAGCAGGGAGCAGGATTTGTTTGGTGACATCTTTTACTGCACCAACTACAGAGTTGGGAGATATGTTTGACAAAATTCTGGGCACAAAGTTTCTTTCCTTCAAGACTGTTAGATAAGCAAAGGATGTAAGCAAGGACCCAGAGAAGGAAGGTATGGCCGGGAGGTCAGTTGGGGCAGATCAGCCGCTTAAAGAAATGATCTTCTGAAATAGATGATGCATTTCTCCCACCTCATAGTTCTGCTGCTCAAAACATCTTTGCCTCCCCCCTCTTCTTTTTTGGTGGAGCATAGGTCAGCTCAATCAGCTCTAACTCCAAAAAGAATAGATTTTCATTTTTTTTTGTAACATAGAATTGTGTTCTGTGTATTTTTGTGATAAATATGCATCAATTTGACACAATAAAAATTATTTCAAAGAGTGTTGCAGAATCTTTTACATCTCCCACTGCTCGAAGTTGGGTTATTAATACATTTACCTTGGGAAAAATAATCTTTTCTTCTCCAAGTAAGAATTTAGCCCTTTCTGAATATCTTCTAAGAGATTATTTGCTTCCTGAAGCCTGTCCAACATCTTAGGCTGTTCAGTTGCTACAAGTACTCTGGTGTCCTTTACCTTTATGAAAATAAATTATGTAGAAAACACTATATGTGGACATATGGTTTGATTAGTTTATTTCATTTTTCTTTAATAGATGCTAATGATGGTCACCAAATATGTTACAGAGCATGACAAGTTAGACATTGGTTTCTTTGTTGCCTATCTTCAGATTATGAAAATGTGCAATTGAGAGTGCTTACTGTTTGAGAACATTGCTTTGTACAGACTAAATTGTATCAATAACGTTGTAGCCTGATTGTGGAAAAAAAAATGATAGGATCACATCCACAGGCATTAGAACATTTTAAAGATTATACTGATTTGAAGAGTCAAATCTTGTTTGCATGTGCTTTAGGCTTGCAACATTTCTTTCAATTACAAATAGGAGTAAAAATTCTATGACATGCACCTTTGAAACCCTCCACTTATCATCTTTTCTGCTTGTTCTCCAATTTACATTTATTCTCTGTGATTGCACTCATTTGGTTGATGTGATCAGCATCTCTTAGAACAAGTTTCATAATTTACAGAAACTGGGTTGTTATGCAAATCTCTGGTTTACTTCAAAATTTATATCAGTTGTCCTGAGTAGCCTGTCTTACAAAGATCTCAGCCTCCACTGCTCCTAAACATCTAACCTCTTGCTATCAGAAACTTCTTGTGGTTATATTCAGCAGAAAAAGATTTAGCACTCCTTACTAACTTTCCATAATCCCAAGTATGGAAATCGCTCAACATATTGTTACATATATTTTTCTGACAATGTAATGAACTAACAGAATTTTTACTGCACAGAAAATACCACACAAAAACACAGAAAATATCATGCAAATTATATTTTTTGTTGGTCTAATACCAAGTGAGCCTTTAAAGCCCAGATAAGTCACTGGAAGCCTTCCTACTCATTTCAATAAGCTCTGGAAGCACAAATCACTTATCCCTCTTCAATATTCTATTCATTTAACAGAAAAATCTAACTTAACTGCACAAAAACAAGATGATTTACAATTAGAGTTCAAACTGTTCTCTAAATTCATTCCATTGTATCTAGTTTCTACAGAAATCTCAAAAGAATGGGTAATCTTACCTATCCATTTTTTATACAATACTAGGCATTACAGGTGTTTAGTTAGGGACTCTGTGTTCTACATTACAATTTCCTATGACGCAAACTTAAATATCTGACTTTGGAAAAGCTGTCAAATTAGCTTAGCTATACTTACATTAACAAATAAATTAAAAAATGCTCACTCCATTACATGCAAGCACTTACTGCATGTGTCATGATGTCTTTCCAGTAAGCGTCTACGATGCCAAACTTTCTGCCCTCTTCTGGCATTTGAGCGATAATGTCTTCTGAACTAAAGATCGGTTCTAAGTAAAGCCACGTTGCTTGACATTTTAACCAGCTATCTAAAATATCTTGCATTAAAACAAGCTTCTCTTCCCATGCCTGTAAACAGAACATTTAATGCTTACAATCTACATAATTGCTTCAAATTGTGTTTTGATTCAGAGACTGAATAGTGGAAAATGCCAGATAATTACTTATATTAATGCAACATTTTCTCATTTCATTTCTATGTGGTTACTGGTATTTACATAATTGAAAATAAACAACCCTAAGAGTTTTATCTCTAATATCACACTCTGGCCAGAAAGAACCAATTTTTTAACAAAGCAGGAGGTGCAGTGCAACTGTGGCTCAGGTGTTTAGGCCTTATTCACCTGAATAGCCAGAACAGGTGCTTATACACATGCTCCGGAAGTGGCGGGGAGGAGTCACTTTAATTAGAGGGGCTCCAAGACCTGCTCTAATTAAAGCACCTGGAGTGTCTCTTGTATCAGTGTCCCTGCACTTAAAAATGGCAGCAAGAACACTTTAACTAAAGCTCATTGAACACCTCCACTGCCATTTTTAAGCATGGGGACACTGGTACACGAGATGCTGGAGTTTGCTTGAGCACAGTAATTACCACGCTCCAGCAGACTCGATTAATCAAGTCTGCTCTGAAGCACTGTGATTGCAGCACATCAGAGTATTGGCTTAGAAATGGTATTCAAAAGTTTGTTTTTTGGGAATTGGCTTATAAGTAGAACGGGCAACAGGGGTCAATTGATTTCTAAAGAGTTTGGGTCCCACACAACCCAAATGCAACAAGGCCAACAAGAACACATAGTATGGAAAAACAGTCTGGAAACTGGGAGTATGTACTATGCTGCCCATAACATGAGATAAAGTGGAACCAGCTAACAAGCCAGAGAGCAGAGGGGCCTAAGTCCTGGTTTTGGGGGAACAGACAAAATTAGAAGGCCCGGAAAGCTACATGGATGTGTGACCACAGAGAGACAACCAACCAGAGATGGCCACGAATGAAGAGTCATCAGGAGTCACCAAGAGGGAAGGAGAATACAAAAGTGCAGACTTGAGAGTAACAAAGGGTCCTTTCCTTTGTCTCATCCCACCCCGGGTTCCTCCTCCTCCTCCCCATCCTTCTCCCTGAGAGGGTTCCCCATCCCCTGGGAAGGGTCCCCGAAGCCACCATGGACAGAGGCCGTACAACCAGCCCATCTCATCCACCCCAATGGAGGGGCTGTGTGGGCCTTGGCATCCCACCTCCAGGCTGCTGATATGCTGACATCTGACACTTAAGAGATAGCCTCAGAGTGAAGACTGCAGCCTGTCCAGGTGGACTTTGACTCTGATGACAGCCCTAGGATTTGGTAGCTTTATAGAATTGCTTGGTTGTTTGTATAGCTTCTTTTGTTATCACTGTGTATCAATAAATTTGCCTATTATCGAATGGAAAGGCCATGGTCAGTCTGAGGGTGGGAACAAGGCCTTTGGGTCCTAAGTCCAGAGCCAACAGGAGCTTACTCACTGCTTGTATATAGGCACCTAATGGGGTCTACGTGTGTGAAGAAGGACTCCTGAGAACAAAGTTGCAAGATTCAGATTTTATTTATGACTGTAAATTGGTTTGTGCACTGATAAGACACCAGCCCTTCAAAACTGTGCAAAATCTCCCAATTTTCAGTGTAAGGGGTGAGCCAGGGTAAGCAGAGGGTATATAAGAAGGTAGGCAGATTGCACTGTATCAGGTGACCCTTGGGGGTTGTTACAGGAGCCTGTAAATTAAGGGTAGCATTTGCTCCTCACCACCCTCAGTGCTTTTGCTGAGCAGCAATCAGCTGGACCTAGGCACTAGGGCTAATGACCCAATGAACAGATGGAATTAAAGGACTGACATCATGAAAATTAGTCAAAAGTATAACCAAATATTAATTGGAGGTGGCAAGAATCTCTACTTTCTGTGTAAACCTTTTGAATTTGTCCAGTCTTTAACACCTTTGTTCATCAAAAATGTGTTGCAGAATGACTTCATATCTTAAACCTACCATGAAACTGCACCTGAACAGACAGGTAGGCCACCAGGAAGAACAACTTTGAAAAAATGTGTGGATTATAACAATGCCACAAAATTACATATGTATTTCCCTCACAAATGAGAGTGCTACTTCTTATTATACAAATCAACAAGGTCAGTTTAAATCCATCAGCCTATTCCCAAGATACAGGACTCAAAAAATCTTGAACATTTTGACAACCAGTGTGGCCATACAATTACATTTTCCTTTAGCTTCGTTGCAAGTGTTGCACCTGCTTCTTTGGAAACCAATAGTTCAAAGCTCTTTGAAAAAACAGCATGAATATTTGTATTCCTTAGAAATAACTCAAAATGTATAACTTCTTATGATGCCAGAACACCTTAAAACACTCAGGAAAAGTATATTATGAAAGACATGTAAATGCAATCAAACTGGCTTTCCCTTACCCGGCATTCACTTTCTATTGGTCTGATGAATGGAGAGCCACACATTGTCTGTGTCTTAACAATGTGATCATCGAGCAAAAGCTGAATGTCATCAATTGCTGACAGGATGCTGGTGTTCTGTAAATGTATCACACTTAGTTAAAGCAAATTAAGTTATTTTGATACACTAGTCTAAAAAATTTAGAGGTCCTCCCTCTACCACAGACTTCTTCTGTATCCTTGGACAAATCATTTAATCTTGCTGTGGCTCAGTTTCCCACATGGAAAATAAGGATAATAAAACCCCCCTGCCTCCCATGTGTGTTGTGAGGATAAATACTACAAACCCAAAAAGACTTTCAGATGCTATGGTAATATAGGTCATTAAATTACCTACAGATAGATATTTTAATAACTTTGCATGGGCTATCATGCCTGATTTTACTTCATGATACTCCTGTACATCAGTAATAACTACACTGATTTTGCTGAAATGCTGTAAGTCAGTGCAGATTTATTCATTTTAACAATTTGCTAGTTGACCTTTACTCACAGTGTCTCTGTACTTCACAAAAATGAAATGCATATTGACCCATTCCAATTTCATCTTGTCCAGGGATTTCTCTAGGGAATATTCTTTACTAGCTGCTGCTCCTATAGGTTCCAATCTGGATTAAAATGAAATGTAGTTTAACTATATTACAAACAAAACATTCCAAGTGAAAAACAATTTTGGGATAGAGAAAGAAAAAAGGCAATTCAATGAGAAAACATAGGAGTGAACCTACAGAACCTACATGCAGACTTATGCATGGCACTGAAGTGTCTATGCATTTCAGCCTTGTATTTACACACGAAAAAGGCCAGTGAAATATGTAACAGGCCGTATTTCAAATGGGAGCTCATGAGTTGAAAACAGCAGAACAGAAGAACCTGGATGTACTAGGTGATCACAGGATGGCTATTAGGGCTGTGCAAAATTTCGTCAGACATTTCGTTTTGACACTGTTTTGACCAATTTCGAGGTCGAAACAGCAAAATCGAAACTAAACAAAGGCCCTCAAAATAGCCTTGAAACAAAACGAGGCTAGTTGAAATGTTTCGACCATAGGCTGGAGATGGGAAGTCAGTTCAGCTGGGCTGCCTCCCGCCCCCGGTGCGATCTAGCACGGGGGACCAGGAAAACAGCCCAGCTGGGCTGCCTCGCTGCCCTCGGCAGGATCTAGCACCGGGGATGGGAAGTCATCCCAGCTGGGCTGACTTCCCATCCCCAGCAAAACTCAAAACAGTGTCAAAAGAGCCTTTCTGTTTCAATGGAACAGAACAGCTGTTTCGACTCGAAATGAAATTCAAGACAAAACACTGTTCTGTTGAACCGTCGAAACTCAAGGCGAAACGGAATGGTGCCATTTCGCACAGCCCTAATGGCTGTGAGTTGCCAATGTGATTCAAAAACAATTTAAAAAAGCAAATGTGATCCTAGGGTATTATCAGGAAAGGTATGTCTAAGAGAGAAGTAGAAGCACTGATGACACTGTAATTAGGTAAGACCTGATCTAGAATACTGAGTGCAGTTCTGATCACCCATATTCCAGAAGGATGAACATGAATAAAACTAGGTACAGAGAAGAGATACTAGAATGATCCAGGGAACTGAAAGCTTAAAAGAGGAGACTAGAAGGGCCTGGGTTCTTCAGACAAAGCAAAATGAAGACTGCTGTGTATAGATACATTGAAAGGCGTAAACAACAGGGAACAAAAATAACTAACTATTTAAACCAAAGAACAATGCTGACACAAGAATAAATGAGTATAAACTGGCCAAGAATAAATTTAGACTGGAAAATCAGAAGATTGTCTCTAACAATTAGAGCAATAGTATCAAAAATATGACCCAAGAGCTGAAACTGCTTACAGACCTGTTTTGTCTGGCCCCAGGTTCTTAGAAAGGCTAAGAATTTGGTGGCAGGGTGAGGTGCACCCCCAAAATCCATGTACATCAGCAGTGAGGCAAGCAACAGCTGTGTCAATCCTAACAGCTCTCTGACGCCATTCACCCCATCTCCACAGGTGGGCCCAGATTTTGCCTGCACGAAGGCCCATGGGCCAGATCTGGCCTGGGGTGCCAAACCAGTTTGACACTCCTGCATTAGAGAATAAAGTTCTGGAACAGCCTTCCAGTGGAAGCAAAACCTACCTGATTTCAAGGTAGAACTCCATGAAGTTTATGAAAGAGATCATATGATGTAGCACATGTGATAAGAGGTGATTAGACTCAGCAACCTGGAATGTTCTTTTCAGTGCCATGTTCCTCTATTTTTGAATTATCAAGTGAGCCGGACTGTATTGCACTAGGCTTGTACAAACACAGAAAAGAAATATTCTCTCTGCTTAAAAGAGCCTACAGCCTAAGGAACATTAGACAAATACTCAGTTTTGGTAAGTATGTACAGTATCCTTTTAGCACACAGGTCCATAAGTCCTCATAGCTGGACAATTGGTACCAAGGCATTTGGCTTTATATGCAGATATAAAAAATATTTAAAATAGTACCAAAAATATGTTTTCAAGTTCCCTAAAATAATTTTACTGAGAAATGTGACCTAAAAATATATGATGATGTGATGAATGCTTTATTGTCATTTATAAGAGATAACCTGCAGAATTCACTCATGCCATTTAAATCTTGTAGCCATTCTAGACACTGCTCCCTTGACTAATGTCACCTAGCAAGATTTTATTTACATTTTCTAATTCACCAACTGAGGATAATAATCTCTACAGTTTTACGCTGCAGTTTAGGTGCAGAAGAGAATTTTGGAATAAATAGGGGTGGGATTTTCAGAAGTATACCTTTACAAGAACAACGTGCAATGCTTTTCATGTCAGATTTGTTTTCCTCCAACACTTCTGAAACTTCCACCTTTAAGTCAATAATGTTCATCAGTGAAAAATTAAAGGCTTTAAAATGTGAAAAAATATCTAATAGGATTAAAGGGGTTAGGAAATTTATCAGATTAGAAAAGTGTATCAATGGGGTTTTATGTTTAAAAGAAATTAGAATTAGGATGTACTACTTACTTCTCCATGTATTTTGATAATCCATATTCCAACATATTTAATAGGGAAGTAGTTTCATCAGGTCTGATCTCACATCCTACTATTTCACTAATCTGAAAATAAATAGAACACAGGATTGGTTATAAAGATGTAAATGTGTAACTGGAGTTTACTGAAGTGGACTGCAAGACTCTCATTCCACCAGAGTTGGCTCTGCACCCTTAGAACTACAAGATTGGGTCCAACATGTGCTAACTTTTAGTGGAATTACATACTGTGGAATTTTTTGGAATAAAGAATGGGGGTATCAGAACAATCACTATTTTGAAGGAGAAAATGTAATTGTTTAGTATGTATTTCAACAGCACCTGTTCCCAGTGTCTCTCCTTCATTCCTCGATTGCAAGCAATAGACAGGACAGGAAGATGCTGCTTGAACTTGTCAAGTTTAAATTTCATATTTTCTGCTAAGCGCTTTGGTCCAGGAAGATCTATAAAAGTCTTAGAAAGTTTGTACATGGTCCTCCACATATTTCCAACTTCCTCAGTGATAACATCAGCATTCAAGTTCTGAAGAGGTCCTGCATGTATAATTTGAAATGAACACTAAGAAAATATTGATGCTTGTTCAGTACTAGAAAGATTTATAGGTATTTGTAACCTTTCTTTTTTTAACTGTAAACAACTGTAAACTGTTGCATTCCAAAATACCAGACCCACAACTTTATTTAGCACCTCTACATAGCATTTTACCACCCCAAAAAACTTTGCACAGGACAAACCAATCAATCTTTGCAACATCTGCATGAGCAAGTAGTATCATTCTAATTTTATAAACAGACACTGAGAGAGAGAGCAGTTTAGTGATTTCAGGCACTCAGGGCTGAGGCCCAGTTACAATTCTATACAAGTTCAGACAACTCCAAAATGGCAAATTTTATCACAAAGCCCTATCATCCTCACCATTCATCCACTCCTCAGACTTGGTATGGAAATTAAAAGCTGTTATCCAAAGTTGCTCAAAAGGTTGTTTATTTACAATTACAGCTTGCAGCAAAGGAAACTGACTCTTCTCATGCTCCAATAACTCCTCTTCTTTGTTAATAGCCTTTAGGGGAAAAATATGATTTCCGTTAAGAAGTCCATTGTTACTGAAGAATTCTGTTATGGAACATAGGATAAAAGTATCTAAGAGCCAGTTAGATTTTTAAAAGTATTAAGGTACCAAAAAATGCAGTGAAAGTCTAGTGGGAATTCAATAAGGGAATTAAGCACCTATATGCTTTTGAAAATCCTATTGGCTGGAAGACTGCAAGTGTTCAAATACTTTTAAAAAAGCAGGTCTTAGCAGACTTTTCATTAATGACTTACAACATAAGCCATGCCATACAGGGTCAGACCAATGGTCCATCTAGCCCAGGTTTAGCCATTTCTGAGCCTAAGTACCATTGACTTTCAATAAGACTTTGGCACCAAAGTGCTTAAATTACTTTTGGAAAAGGGACTTGGACATTTTGGGAAATTGTATCCATTGTGTTATTTTCTGTTATTTTGTATAATAGTAGAATCTAGAGGCTTTAATGAAGATCAGGTAGCCAATGTACAGCATACCGCTATATATAATATACACTTTGCTTTTAGACGGCAGCTTGAAGAAAAAAAATCTGAACAGCAGATTGAGTAGCAGCAGCTAGGAAGATGAGACTGCTCCTGAGCCTTCTTCCAGCCTCACACACCAGATAGGGCCTACAGGCTAACCTAGTGTGCTGGGTCCAACCATCATGTCAGGCCTGGGGCCACATACTGGGTCCAAGGTGACATGGCAGATCCGATCCAGGCAAATTGTACCCAATGCTGCACACAAGACCTCGGTCCATGTGCTGGATCTGACCCTGCAGACTACATCCAACCCCATGCCTGCTCGGTCCGGGGTCATGTGCTGCATCTGACCCAGTGCATCAGGTCCAGATGCAGACCAACCTCACATATCAGCCAAATCTGGCACAGGGACCATGTCATCTGACTGGGGGGGTCTCCACAGGTCTGTGGAGTAGTGGCAGCATTACTGGTATGCTCCCCTGCCACCAAATCTCCAGACCTGTGGGGAATTGTTTTTTTCATATGTACCAGTAATGCACAGATGCAGGTGCAGATTATATGCAAGAAAATAACCTTAAGGTATAAGGAACAGTCCTTGCCCAAAAGAGTCTCCAGTATAAGCAGGTAACAGAGATAAAGAGTGACTGAAAAGCAGCATTGTTGTCTTAGTTTTCCTGTTGTGCAAGTGAAGCACAAGGCGATTCAATGATTTACTCAAAGTCACATAAAATGGCTATGGCAGAGCCAGAAACTGAGCCCAAGAACTGTTGGGTCTTAAGCCATCCTCCTTTCCCAACAATTTCAATCGTTCAGTAGATATGGGATTCATCCTCAGTCATACAAGGATGATTTTTTTTAATGAAAATTGTCAAAAACATCCAGTTCTTCAAACCAGCTTTAGTAAATAGAAGGGAATGGCAATGTGCATCTGCAAATTTGGGGATCATTTTCAAAGTCAACTTGATGATTGGTGTCCATAACTCTGAAAGAACAGGATATGAGCTTACCTGAATAGACTAACATTTGAGTCAGATAATAAATACCAACCTCAAATTCTACCATTGCATCATCCAAATTCTTATCCAGCTCATTAAATTTCTCAACATTATTCTTCATTTCTTCCAAAATCATGACATCACGTTTTTTGTAACTTTCTACTTCTTTCTCATATTTTTTTAGAGTTTCCTCAAATCGGGAACACCTAATTAAAAAGAGTTCAGAAACGTTACCATTTTAGACTTTATTCCTTTTATAAGTTTTGAAATTTTTTTGAAGTATAAAGAGGACTGTCAAGTGAAAGCTAACCTATCACTTACAAAACGCAACTTCCTAAATAATTATTCCTCACAATTGTGTAAGGTTTCCTCTTTACAGATGAAGAAACCAAGGCACAAAGTTTGAGTGACTTTTTTAGTTCCAGACAACAAGTCAGTAACAATGCCAGAAATATAACTAAAGAAACCTTTTAAAACATATAATAGCTCCAGGCTCTGTCTGCTAGTGCCTGCTGTCTTTACTATCCACATGAAGATACATGATGGCTGGAAATGGGAGAAAAGCTTTTACCCGATATGTTGGGGTATAATTTAGAAATGACAGGATCTCATATCTTTTATTAGACCAACTCAATAATTGGAAAAAATCTTCTTTGCAAGTTTTCAGGTATAAATACCATTCATCAGACTGAGGAAGCATCTGCAGTTGATCTGTGCTCTTCCTGAATGGAATGAATAATAAAGAGGCCAGAGGCTGGTATGCATGCAAGAAAGCTGGTGTGCGTGCAAGAAAGAAAATGGCTTTCTTGCATACATACCAGCCTATGGCTTCTTTACTATTCATTCCATCCAGGAAGAGCACAGATCAACTGTAGGTGTTTCCTCAGCCTGACAAAGGATATTTGTAGCCGAAAGCTTGCAAAGAAGAATTTTTCTGACTATTTGAGTTGATCGAATAAAAGATATCAGATTTACCCAAAGAACCTTGTCCGTCCATGTCCTTAGACCAACATGGCTACAACCTATACCCCAGGAATGACGGAATAAATTTATGTAAATCCTAGCACCATCCTTCCTTCCACCCTTCAGACCAATTCAGAAACAAGAAAAACTCCAGTCTGAAAGATTATTTAAAACTTGGAGCTAGGAGTTTCCTTTGACTGCAATCTGCTGACTTGACAATACCACACACTTCATTGGTCCTGAGTCTTTTCTTTTTTTTCTTTTCTTTCCCATTTCCAGTACAAGAGACTATCCTAATTTAATACCATACCTTTTACTCAGAGCTGTCTCTGCTATATCCCTCCTGACAAACAGCTGGTTTCTGCTTTTTTCAAAGATTATCTCAATCTCATCTGGCCAGTGGAAAACAGTACTATTCAGCTTTAAGTCATCATCTAAATTAAAAAAGAGTCTATTTAAGAAATTATTTTAAACAGTGAAATATAGGGCGGTTACTATGACAAACATGCAGAATGGTTAAGACTACTTTTAGGGAAAGGTTACAAAAAATAGTACCCAATCTTGTACCTTCGGCTTGCAAGTAAAAATAGATCAGACAGTCATGTTGACTTTTGGGAGCATGAAAAGTGCTGACATGGCTGAGATTGGTTTCTAAATCAGGACGATCTTCATGTAAGATTATTATATTGGTTTATAAACAGAGGGACAAATTCTTGGCTCATGTGTATAGGAGCAATCAAAATTTGGTCTTGTAGGTTTCAATTGAGACAGATACTTTGAAAGGGATGAAATCAAAATACTATAAAATCAAACCAAAACTATTAAAATATATGCTTTAAGTTCTAGGGTGTGCTCTTGTCTGGGAACCTTGCTATCATAAGTATTATGTGAGAGTTGAGTAAGGAGTTCATGTAGTGAACAGTTAAAGATGTGGCCTGGGATGATCGAGGTGTCCCCTATGTATGCAAGCCTTAAAGGTGCAGATACACTATTCATTTACCCTGCTGCCACTTACATGAGTTTATACAGGCAGTCCTTGGACTTACGACACAATTGGTTGCTGCAAACCACGTCTTAAGTCGAAACATTGTAACTTGGAACCAATTTTCTCATAAGAAACAATGTTATAAATGAGGGATTCATTCCTGAACCAAGGCCCGATACCCTATTTTCACTAAAAATACCCCAGAATTTTGTACTCGATCAATTATAGATGAGTAATATAGCTACATTAATGTATTTATATTGTAAATAGCAATCATATTGATTTGGAAGGACTTTTTTGAGGTGACTTTGCTGGACTTTTTGAAAGGCTCTTTGGACTTTTTGAAGGGTTCTTGGCTGGAGTCTTATCAGGAGTCTTGGCTGCAGGTTTTTCTGGAGTCTTGTCTTCTTTCTTAAAGAAAGTGTCCAGGGAAATTTGGACAGATGTTCTCCAGGGAGATGAGCAACGCAGCGAACTTGTTCGCTGGCGTGGCATTGCATCACATCAAGCGTTGTAAAGTCGAAACTGACATCATAAAGTTGAAAAAGGGTGTCAATTTATAAACGTTGTAAGTGCGAAATGTTGTAACTCAAAACGTTGTAAGTCGAGGACTGCCTGTACATGGATATAAGTTACACCAGCATCTAGAGTGAACAGATGACCAGCTCCCCAGAGGCAGCTATCTGCAGCATATTCTACTACAGTGCCTTACCATCAGGTGGCAGGGGAATCAGTAATAGGCCGTTTGCAATAAATGAATACCTAACTCAAGTTTGAAACTTATTAGCTCTATGGGCACATGATCCATATACCAGTGTATATAGATTCCTGACTTCCCTGGGGAAAATTTTCCCCCCCAGAATAGTGTGATTTATAGTAGTGTGGTGTAGTATAGCCACATTTACACTGATATGACAGAATAGGATGATATCTGAGTTTCAAAACTATCTCTATTATCATCAAATCAGAGGTATTTGTCAGACAAGGTCACCTCACCCCTACACTAAACAAAGATTTGGTTTTGTTAGTATGGCAGGGAACAATATAACCAGGAGTGCAACCAATCCTTGCACATAACATAGCAGCTGTTTGAAAGAGTCCTTAGTAAAGAGGTCCTACGTATGGAAGAGAAGAATTGTTTTCTTGCTGTATTTTTCCCTCTAGAATCTGCTGAATCCCTCTAGAATCCTGGCAAAATCAATTCCCTCTAGAAAACGCTTTTTTCTTTCTTTCTATTTGGTGTTTGTTTTTTTTGTGCAACCTTTCATAAACGTAATAGAAGTTCTATAATTTATCTAGCACCTCGGATAAACAGTAGCCTCTGTTTTATACATTTTCCCCATGAAGACTTTTATATTCTGTATTTTAAAACATACAAGGAAGGTCAGCATACTCCGTCAAGAATTCCAGTCTGTAGGCTGCTTCAGAGATCTCACGTCTCAGTTTAAAAACAGTGATTTCACTGGCTTTTTTTAAGTAGGCAGTAAGCTCCACCAGCTCCTCAGTGTTCAAAGGCATCTCATTCACCTTGTCTGCAATTATTTTGTACTGATTGCAAATGCTACAACAAGAAAATAGACATATTAATATTATTATGATGATTAATAATAAAGAGTGGTGCAAGATCTTATTAATGGAGTTTGTCATTAATGCATCTTTACAATTGAGATATTCTCACGAATATGCACAACAGGCATACAATTAAGGATGCTCTTTTATGTCATTCATTCAGTTCCATCATCCTACCTCTCTTTTAAGAACTGAAATGTCCATACAATAGAATCCTAGTCAAATCGACAGTAAATTGCCACTGGAATACTTAAAAGTACACCTGCATTTAGAATCCACCTAAGATTTAAACTCTTACACCAAAAGAAACTTACTTTAAAAAAAAATCAAAAACTAATTTCTTGCCAACATATACAAAACACTGCATCTAGCATGAAGCAAAACTTAAAAGCTAAAATGGACCTCCAAATAAAAATGAACATGGGTAAAGGGGTCGGGGGGGAATGCAGAGGGAGAAAAAAAGAGAGTGGTTCCCTGATCCTGAGGTACCAATGCACCCGAACCCTTAAAAACTGCATGTGCAGCCCAGCCCCACACACACTTTTTAAAGGGGTGTAGTGAGCCCAAGATTGGGGAGATGCTCTCTAATGTCAGGCTCACAGCACCCCACTCATCTGCTTCTGGTGATCAGATTGGGGCATGAGGTACAGGAACCAGTTCTGCCCTCAGCCCAATCAAGTATGGCACAGCCATGTCCTGGTACCTGGGGCTGCCCCATGCAGATCCTGACACACAGATCTGTCATGGGCCAGCTGTAATCTGTCTCATGTTCAATATAAGGCATGATACACATGAGCTATAAAGATGATGCACATTGTACGTGGAACAGCTCTGTGGCTCATGTACAGTATTATCACAACATAAATTCATCTTAAAAAGCTTATTCTTTTTTCATTTGTCAGCACCTGAATTTAGGGCCTATACTTCTCTAACAGGTACCTACAGCCCTTACCCTGCTTTAGATGGGCATCAGCTTTTGCAGGGAAAACGGAGAACCATGAGCTCTCAGCCGGACAAGTCAGCAAAAGAGGAAATAATTGTCAAGTGTTTTCACTGTGATGTTTACATGTGCCCAGATACAGCCTAATTTAAGTGTTTTGTAAAAAAATGAAAGACCTCCTTTCTTCAATTTTAAATACACAACCTGGGATCCTCCATGCATATCTGATTAACAATATAAAATCCATCAGAGGGGTGAAGGTCCCTTAGGCACTAATATACAACATCAACCCAAAATGTAGTGGTAGCCAAGCAATCTAGCATACATGTACCTTTTATTTAATTCTCTGTTTTCATCCACTTCAAACTCAATGAGCCTATCTTTAAGATTTTGGGCCCGACTGCAAAGTTCCTCATTCAGCTTTAAAGCATCCAGGCAGAACATGGCGAGAGGGACAGTGATATGCATGGAGGCTATTTCTTTTTTCAGTTTTGTTAAACTGTTAATCTTCTGCAAAAGGGGAAAAATAATCCTATTAGTTTCTTTAGAGTCCATGGGGTGGGCGTGGGGGGGCAAATGCTACAAAAGAATAAAAAATTATTCTTTTATTCTTGGTTAAATGTTCTTTTGTTCTTGGAACATTTGTTCTTTTGTTCTTGGTTAAATGTACCAAGTAGATAATACATTTAACACAGAAATAAACCACAGGAATAAGAAATAACCCATATTTACATGTTTAGGTTTCAGCTCTCCCCCACCACAGAACCAGGCTGAAGAACCCCAACTGTAGAAAGTTCACTGTGATACAGTGGTTCATATTGCCTGCAGGCTGCACCTAGCTAGGGACTAGTTCAGCCAGGAAAGCTCAGAACGCGAGTAAGGCTGGCAAGGAAGAATCAAGGAGATGTACTAATTCAGTGCATGACCTGCATACTCCTCTGCAGTGGGTTTCTTCTTGGAACACAAACTGCCTTCCTCAGCTTAATGCATAGAAAACAGTATTATCATCTGTTCTATTAGCACAACTTCCCTATGGACAGAGGGAATGTAAATTACTGCAAGTACCCTCCACTTCCAAGGATGAATCAAGCCCTTAAAGTAAAACCTCTTAGATCATATAACATAGAGAAGTAAGACTGGAAGGGACCTCAAGACATCATAGTCTAGTCCAACCGGGGATGTCTTTGGGATGAGAAACTTGTCACCTGCATCTCTGTACTGCTGTGCAGAGGTTGATTGCTGTGTGAATAGTATAATATGTTACCTTGGTGAAAGCTTCTAAGGAATGGCTTTCCTTCAAAAAATTAGTAACCTCTTGCTCTGCCTTGTTGTTCAAAAGATCACTGTATTTCCTGTACACATTTAAGTACCTAAAACACAAAAGAACATAAAAATAAAAACAAAATGCCAGTGTTAGGACTCACCGCAATTGGAAGTAAGCATTCAACAAATGGCACTAACTCTAATTGTTTATACACAATTTTATCATATAGTGGATTTAGATTAGCAAGAGGTTAAAAGCCAAAACTTACTTCTGTGGACCGACTGTGTTGTTCTCAAATATCCTTGCAGCTTTATTCACATATTCTGAAACCAAAGATTCCTCTGGTCTGACTGTACGAAGAATGTGGTCATCCCTTTTTAATTCTGGAAAGATTTGAACTTCTACCTAAAAGGACCCCCATAATGCAAATAAAGTGATACAACACTTCATAATAATAGGAGAAGGCATTTCACCAACCCACACCATCATTTAAAAAAGTGTATAATTCTACTTACCTAGTGATCTGGGAGAAACAGTACCATGCCACACTAGTATGATCCATAATTCAACACTGAAAATGCACTCGAAGCACTCTTCAGTGCTTTTTGCCACCTCAGGGCCAGAATCAGAGAAAGCCTAGAACACTAAGTCTGAGCCACAACAGCTCAAACATCACTTTTGGTCACTCAAAATAGCACTGAGAGGCATAAAATGTACACCTAGGCTTTGACATGTCGATCTCTAAATACCACTGGGAACACTTGGCTGTTCTGCTGGAGCCTGTATTTGAAAACTGGGTGTACGATGCTGACATTTCATTTACGAACATAAAGATAGCCTAAAGGACACTATTCCACAACTGAAGGAATAAAATGCAGGCAAAAATGCTCATAGTTTCCCAGCTGTAACAAAGAGCCAGAGCCCCCTGTTACTTTAAGAGGGGATAGCTGAATTGGGGTCTGCTGCATTTTGGATAAGCATCCAGAAGAAAGCCTGCAACAGCAGGAACTGCTAGGTAACCAATGAGGACTCCAGGACAGGAGAGTCCCAACAACTTGTTAGGCTGAACAGAAACCCCTGGGCCCATGTTCAAGAACACCAATCAGATGACCGGAGGGGGCAAGGTTTAGCTGTACATAAGCCCAGCCTTTGGACTAGGGCTAGCAATCCATGCCAGCAGGCTGCAGGGGAAGGAGCTAAAGACAGCTGACTGCCAGGAAAAAGGAGGTACCCTGTGAGCTGGGGAATCAAGTCAGCTCCTTAGGGGAGGAATGTGGCAACTGGTATAGCCCTGGTGGGGTCTGAATGAGTTGCATTGTTTTCTAGTTATTTCTTCTATGTTTAAGTTCAAACACTGGAGGACCGGACTGTGGCTATGGAGGATCTGTGGAGGCCACAGGGTGCCTGAGGAACACCTAGCATAGAGCCCTGTAAGGGCCACAGACCCCAGGATAGTGCAGGGCAAGAACAGCTTTGTTGAGGTCAGGGACACCAAGGGCTGGTATTGAGAGTCACCTTGCTGGGGCTTCAGACCCCAAGGGCTGGCACAGACAGCAAGAGCAGCCTCGCTGGGATCAAGGACCCCAGGGGCCGGTACAGAGAGCAAGCCAGAGCTGAGGTGCAAGAGCCCAAGGTCTTCAGCAGTGATCATGGGCTGAGGGGGTTCAGCCAGAGAAAAATAGTCAAAGCTAGGAAGGCTGAAGTCTGTACGAGGGCTTTTGGGCCTGAGGGACCCAGTGTCAGTTTGGGCAAGGAGGCCCTGTCCAAGTGGTAACTGATATCTGTGAGGCATGAACATGGCTATGGGGATGGTTGGAGGCCACAGTTATAGCTAGAGACCTCCTAAATCATGGCAAGATAAAGGGATTTTCACGGGCTGCTCACGGCATGCAGAGCCAATTTCACCGTCTTTTTGCAGCGAGCCCCTCCCACACCGCTGATTAGTCAAAGGGCCCCGGCAGCCCTGCCCCTTGCCACTGATTGGCTGTGATGGCCAATCACTCATCTTCAGACTACAGCATTACTGCAGCTTTGCACCTGGCTTCTTACAAGATGGCACCAAAACCCTCTCACTTTCCCGACTGGTGCCTTCACTGAGCCTACGCCACTAGTTCAGACACTAAGTTCCCAAACCATGTGCTCTATGGTTGCAGGGATTGCTGTGCTTTCTTTGTATTACAGCAAGCTTTTATTTTTGGGGGGTGATTCCATGCGAAATCATCAGAAACACCATTTTTCACAGTGATTGCAGAAACTGCATGTTTTGCAGTTTCCATAAAAATCGCAAAACCACCATTTAAGTAGATCCCTTATTCTAGCCCCTAGGGCACAGCCAGGATCACCTTAAAGGTGAATTACACCCCACAGAGTTTGAAGAAGTGAAGCCCCAAGGATTGGAGTTTGGAGGCAGAGGTGCTTTGAGGGCTAGACAAAAAAGACACCAAGGAGGAGGCTACCCTGGCCTCTGGAGGCATCTTCCCAAGTTAAATATCATAAGATCAAGTTGGGGCAGGTGAGAGATAGGAGGTGAGAGAGGCCAGGGAGTGAGGGCAGGCAAGTCAAATGCTGGGGCAGATTCCCCAAGTCTGGCATCAAATGCTGGCATCAAATGCTGGGGCAGATTCCCCAAGTCTGTCACACCAACATATATGAAAAATAAAAAACGCTCCAGTTTAGAATCAAAACATGTCGAAGGTTCACCTGACTCTAAATGGCCCCTCAGGTCAGTGGAATTAAGCAGGCAAATTTTTGTGCTAACAGTAGACAGAGATGTCACATTTGACCTCATTTAACACCTCAGTCTGCATGACCAGGTGCCCAGGTACAGTTTGGAGGTCTGTGGCCTTCTGTACAAATGTGCTGAGAGGCTCGAATGTGCACCTCTGTAACCAGAGCAAGATGCCATAGCTTCTTTACCACTGTGTCCCCATTTAAAGTATTGATAGAAAAATCAGTTGCCATAAGAAAATTTGCAGCAAGCAAAGGTATACTTTCACTGGCCTACACATTCTCCTTCTGTGTGAACCATACATGAGATCAAATATGTGATAAAGTAGCTTAAATAAAAACAGGGATCCTTTCCATGTTTTTCTGCAATCATTGAAAAGGCTTATCATACTATGGATAACACTTATAACACGCTCCTCCATTTGTTGTCTATATTGTCGATGGTTTCTACCCGAACATTCCTCATGATAGTACACTCCATCTCTTTTATTTTACTCTGTACCTTTGGAAGTTCCTCTGAACTCCGCAAGATCTCCATGAAGCAACGGTAGATTAAATCCCAACATTTTTTCATAGGTGGCTCAAACACAATTTTCGGTTCCTCCACATTGAGTTTGATGATTAGTATTTGATGTACAAAGAACTGCATTTCTTGATAAGGTTCTCTAAAGTCATTCCCATCCTCAAGAAAAAGAAGGAAAGAAAAGGATACTTGCTTATGAAATCAAGATAGTGCACAAATCTGCACCACTGGTGTATTTTTCACTTACCCTGATCTGAAGTCCAATCTTTCCAGGTACAGATCCCCAAAAGTACTTTGGCACCTAACTCTTAACTGAAAATTATGGGAATTAGGCACTTATATCCTTTCAGTACACCCGGGCCTCACTGCTTTCTGTGTTCAATGATTCAATGGAAGTACAGCACTGACCACTATATAGAATCAAACTCCTAAGAAACTATTCTCTTTTTTAAAAGAACAATTTTACTTGTCTGACATGAACCCCCTAGCACACAAAATGTCTGGATAACACCTAGCACCAAGGAAAACTGAGTCATATTAATAAATGCCTAAGCAAATAGTTCTAGTCACCTATGAGTCTATATGCTTGATCCCAGGAACCTGAGAACCTGTGACTTCAATGAGACCTCAGATGTTTAAAGATAAACACATACTTAACACTCTTTGGATCAAGGCCTATCAAAATAATAAAAGAAAACAAATGCACACTCATTGCAGGTATAATTGGAAGCTTCTGGAACTTGTTATTTATGGTAGTTATTTTGCAATCTCTTACTCATATGAATTGTTCTAGATCACACAAGAAGCCTGGGTTGCTGTACAGAATTAAGGCATATCTCCTGAAAGCAAAAAGAATCTAGGACATTTAACCCTTAAAGTATTTCATTTTACAGTTGCTTAAATCATTTTTTCTACACCATACTGAAAAGCAACAGCAGCACAACACTTCATTCCACATACCTTGTGTATCATGAAAAATGCAAGGAGATCTTCTAAAGAGTTAACAACCATTTCACGTAGTTGTAATGACATGAGATTTGCTACAGAAGCAAAATATTCTTCAATTTGTTGAGGGGAATCATAGTCGTTCTGAGGTGCCAAATGAAGCCACTTCTCTTTCTGATCAATGAAGAGGGATGCACAGGTTGGGATCCACCTACCATAAAAAACAAAGTACACCCTGTTTTAAAACCTTGCAGATTGAACCCGCTGCATGCCATGAAACTAGTGCTAAATCATCACCTAAAAGACCAGTGAAACAGACACCTAGCAGAGGCCGTCCCGAAAACCTTTAGAAAACAGGATTGTTGGTGCTTCGGATGCCTTCTGGGGATAGTTTTTGGCACTGGTTTCAATGCATACCAAGAGATTAACCACTATAATCTGTGGACTGGGGTGGCATGGGTGCTAAGGTGTGCAGTTGACAGCTCAGAAGTTGCAAAGTTTGAAGCCACAGCAGAAGCGCTCACAGTGCAGCCCTGTAAGATTCCGTAGTATCAGACTTAACTGTTTTGGGTCAAACTGGTTTATGAAACTTCTGTCCCAGACCCCTTCCTGATTCAAGTTAAATCTCAGTCCCCCAGCATCCCAGCATGCTTTTCACCCGTGGGCTGTGCTATGCTGTCTGCTCCAGAGAACAGGGCTGGCCCCACACCTATGCTCCCTAGCTGGAGCAGTGAGGGCTGGCTGACAAGGAGGTGAGGGGAGAAAGCCTAGCTGAGGATGCAGCCCAGTCTGCAGCGAGGGGGACTGCCGACCCCGCCAGGCAAACGCCAGCTGGGGTTTGAGGCCAGGGAGGGGGGTTAAACACCCCTTCCCCCACCCAAACTTACTGCTGGCTGCAACTGTGGACTACAAAGACCAGAGACACCTGGAACCAGGAAGAGGAAGTGATGAGTAACCCTGCAGAGTCCTGCTGTTGTAATTCTGGACTGCAAATCCCAGAGACCTCAGGGGCATCAGGAAGAAACAATGAACACACAGCCAGAGAGCAGAGCTGTAGCACCCTCCCACCCTCCCCCAGCTTCTGGCCTGGGCCACTACAGGCATGTGGCTGCATTTCCTGAATCCAAGGTAAATGTCTGTTCACTTCTGTTTCAATTTAATCTGTGCAGTTTAGGCTAAACTGCAAAGACATTGATTCAGCCTCAGGCTTTTTGACAGTCTGTTCTTAGTCCTGATGGCTAAGAGCCCTCTTCTAATTTCCACTCTAAATTTATTCATGACCAATTTATACCCTTTTGTTCTTGTGCTAACATTGTCCTTTAGCTTAAATAGTTCTTTTCCCTTCCCAGGAGCAATCACATATTTTGGCTTTTGCTTTGGTAGTTGTGTATGTATGTGGCCACAGTCTTCTGGGTTTAATATTTGTTTCTAAAAGCTAGCTAGTCCTTCTATCATTAGTACCCAGGAGATACAAAGATATTTGCTCTGTATTTTCAACCTGAGCTTGTCCATATCTTTTATGTGAACCCTTTGAAACAGACAGAACTCAAGCAAGAGTTGTAGTGAATTGGAGAGAGAAATGATCCATTTGAAAAGAGGTGCATTTGTATTCTCTTCACAGCCAGCTCTGCCTTCACGCTCCTCTGTGAGCAGCATAAAATAGAAGTGCTATTCCTCCATTCAGTCTAAGATTTACCAATTTCAAAGGCTTCACACAGGGGAGACCAAACAGCTCAGATTAACATTACCAGTTTCAGATAAAAACCCTGCAGCTCAGAAGGGAACCCTGAGTACCCAAGAGTCCCCAGCACGTCTTTGCTTAATTCATTCTAACAGGATTGAAGTAACAAGGTTCTCAGCCTGCTTATGTTTCTAAACTACTCCTGAGTACACAGCTCTAGGCAAGACCAATGTAGCAAATAAATTCTGACCTGACAACAAATCCCATGTTCCAAAAACTTGGAAAGCTTCATTAATGAGATGGCTTCCTTTCTCTTGGGCTAGCTTCCTAAAAGCCTACAGTAGCACGTGCTTCCACATGCAGACATGGTTAAAGAATCTTGCCACATAATCAATGACACCAGCCTGAAAATTAAATGTTTGTCTGTGCTTCAGTATTTCTTTTCCCTGTAGTAGAGATGCCTCAGGATGTAAGGCCTGATACAAAGCTAAGTGAAGCTGATGCGAGTTTTCTATTGACAGTATGCTCTGGATCAGGTACTTAAAAGCCAACAGTATGCTACTCAAATCAATGGGAATCAGCTTATCAGAATCCCCTCATGTAGTAGATAGGGATTGTTATCCTACAACTAAAGTCTGTATCAAGTGCTTCTTCTGACAAAAACTCTTGTTGACTGCACAACTTGGCCTACTGCTTTTAGCCTAGGTTGATCACTTAAAACAGCAACAGTTTCTAAATACTAGAGACATCAGACCCAATGTAAATATAATGTGCATGGCTTCATTTAGGATTTGGGGTCAATTATTTAAGTATGGACACTGCTGCAAATGGGCATGGCCCTTTGGAACACGCAGGTGTGAGTTTTCATCTATAAAAATCAGTAAAATGTGCACCTGACTTCTTGCTTATGCAAGCAGCTAATATACTGAAGCAAATCAGGCAATACTTACTACCAAAAAAATTGCCAGTGCTTTCTTTGAATATTTCATTAAAACAAAAGATATCAGGAGTTTGCTTGATATAAAGCAGAAGGATGTGGAGCATTGGTAACATTTACTGCATGTAATCCCTCCAAACTGCACGTGCAAACCCTTTGTAGGAACAAATGGGAACACACACTTAATATAGGATTTCTTCTCTGTAGTTACTGACCAAGTTAAGCCTTCATATCCTAAAAACATTCTGTTTAGTTACCAGTCCTAAGCATAGTACTGACTTCTTCTGAAGAATATCACGAGCTTCCATACAATGTCTTTGAATTAATTCTTCAAATTCATCGGGCAACAGCGGCAGCTCACCCGAAAGCATTTCTTCTGTACGAACAAATCTTAGGTTGCTAAATCTACAGAAAATAAAGTAAAAATGTAGATGGTGAGAGGAGTTCAAATTAAAGGAAAGTAAATCAAATGCAACAGGAGAAGCTCTTATAAGCAGTTAACTTGATGCATGCTATTTCTCTCCTAAATTGCTAAACATATTTTTTAATACACTTTTGCTATTAAAAAAAAGAATTCAGGACTGCGTGAATTTCATTTTGCATTTGCCCTTATTCATGTTACAATAACTTTTTCTTAAAATTAGTTTGGGGTTTTTCTGTCCCTTTTTCTAGATTCATTATTCCACCTGGTCAAACACAAACATGCAGAGGGACAGCTACTTCTCTTCATATCACATAGTAACAAAAATAGAACTAAGTGTGGGCCCTGGCTCCTTTCTGAAGAGAAAAAGTCAAAATCATGTCAATTTTTCATACATTGTGATTCAGTGCATCACAAGACGCACATCACAGTTTGCAAGGTTCTGTAAATTAAGTCCCAAATCAATGTTTTAGATTCCTTACCACAAAGTGCAAATATTTGCACAAAAACCAATGCTTTAATAGTAATAAATATTAAACTTAAAGCCATAAGAAAAAATGGGAGTTCATAATTGTCAAAAGTGACCTGTCATTTTGCATGCCCAAATGGAGGCACTCTAGAGGACCTAATTCTCAGAAAAAAATGAGCACCCATTTTCTTAAAACCCAGGCTTTTTTCAGATATTAGGTTGGGAAGCCAAAAGCTATTAGTCATCTCATCTGGGAATATTAACTCAAGAATGGAGTATTCTGACATAAGAATTGGTCTCAGTGGTATTCGCACATCCATGATTCCTCAGTTATATGGAGATACGAAACAGATGTTCCTGCCTAAATCCAGAAGCTGTTGTAAGAAGGGTGCTTGTACATGTGACAAGGGTTTAATCCCCAAGGTTTTATTCTATGCCCCTAAATTGAAATGGTGGGGCATAGACTAAAAACCTGAGGACTAAACCATTTCGATTTTTCCATCATGTTATGGCAAGGGGCCTGATCCTTTTTTGTTGGGGTTTTTTTTTTTGTCAGAGCTGGAGCCTGCCCTCTGGCTACAGGAGAGGTGGCAGGCTCCACAGAAAAAAAGGATCAGGCCCCTCGCTATTTCTGTCTTCAGCAAGAGCTTGCAGGGAGAGCTGCAAGCTGCCAGTGGACCAAGTGGCCTCTGAACTATGAGGGGCCCCAGTCCTTCCCTCTGTGGCAGCAAGGTGCCTGCTGAAGGCGGAAGTGGTGAGGGGCCTGATCCTTTTTTCTTTTTTTGGTGGAGCCTGCCTGTGGCCAGGGGGTGAGCTACCAGCAGGCCACATGGCCCCTGAGCTGTGGGGGGCCCCAGGCCTTCTCTCCATGGCAGCAGCACCCCCCAGGGCTGCCTGGACAGGTGAGCTCAGGAAACTGTTCGATCCAAGCTGGAGCAGCACCCAGCCTGCTAGCAACCCACTTGGACGGCCCCAAAAGGAGGGAAAGACTGGAGCCCCCCACAGCTCAGGGGCTGCTTGGCCTGCCAGCAGCTCACCCCCTGGCCACAGGCAGGCTCCACCAAAAAAAGAAAAAAGGATCAGGCCCCTTACCACTTCCGCCTTCAGTAGGCACCTTGCTGCCACAGAGGGAAGGATTGGGGCCTCTCACAGCTCAGAGGCCGTTTGGCCCACTGGCAGCTTGCAGCTTGCCCCACAGGCGCTTGCTGAAGACAGAAGTGGCGAGGGGCCTGATCCTTTTTTTCTGCGGAGCCTGCCACCTCTCCTGCAGCAAGAGGGTGAGCTGACAGCTGTATTGTTGCAATTTGCAATATTGCAAACTCAAATACATTCAGACATAGTTTAGTTTGCAATGATCCAAAGTCATTTAAAACCCACAAAAGTCTTGCACGTGTACAGTGTAATGCCATCAAGCCACACAAAGTGACATTTTCATCGTGTGTACATGTTAATGGTGTCACATGTACAAGCGCCTTATGTTTTCATTTATTTTTAAGCTTACTCGCCAAACTTGTGTCCAAACAGCTTTTGAAAAGAATAAACTATTTTTCCACCTCTTGCCCAACATGTGGATGCATTTTAGGGTCACAAGGGAAAAGGAAAAAAGAGCTCCCCATGGAATCACTAATGCTCCCCTCCCCATCCCACATTAGTTCTCATAGTTGAAGGAGTGAAAAGCCATAGTTCACCATGAGTTCAGGATCAGGTACACTACAGGGAAGGCCAGTGAACATACTCAATAACTCAATGCTTTTTAACCTAGCTATTATGGGACAGGTATTACAGCACCCAGCTATCATGGGGCAGGTATTACAGCACAGGCATCACAGTCCTACCATGAGAAAAAACAAAGCCTGATTCAATAAGCAGGTGGTATTCTCCTCTATTCTCCCGGTAAGTAGATGCGGACGGCGCCATGAGGTCTCCACTGGAGTGGTCAACCAGTGGCTTCAGAGTTGGTGCTGCCAAGCAGGCCTCAGGTTCCTTGACAATGACTCCATTTTCACGCAGGGGGCATGCTTGGGTGGGATGGGCTTCATCTCTCCCCTAAAGTCAAGCGTGTCTTTTCTTCCAGGTTGGCTGATCTCGTATGGTGTGCTTTAAAGTATCTTCGCCAGGGGATGGGGTCACAGTGGGACACAAGGACACTTCCCAACCAAGACAGGTGATGAGCACAAGAAGTACCCAGCTAAGTGACGGGGGTCCAGATAGTCCTAGGATCAAGGGGATGGTGCAAGCACCCACAGGAGGCCTTAAATGCCTCTACACTAATGCTCGTAGTATGGGGAACAAGCAGGAGGAACTTGTCCTCCTGCTAGCTAACAAAAACCCGGACATAGTAGGGCTCACTGAAACCTGGTGGTATTCAACCCATGATTGGGCAGTAAACATTAGAGGCTACAGACTGTACAGGCGGGATAGAATGGGGAGGAAAGGCGGGGGTGTGGTACTGTATGTCAAAGAGCAATACACGTCCTCAACAAACAGGATGGGGTCAGAGGAGGAGCAGACTGAAGTGCTCTGGGTAAGAATACAAGGGGGTCGTGGGGAAAGGGACTTAACAGTGGGTGTCTATTACAGACCACCCAACCAGGGGGAAGAGCTGGACCGGGAGATCTCGAGCCAGCTCACAGAAGCAATTAAGTGAAGGGATGTGGTCATCATGAGTGATCTAAACTACCCAGACATCTGCTGGGAGGAACAGTCAGCCAGGTCTGACCGCTCACGTAGTTTCCTAGCCGAGTTACAGAACCTCCACCTAACCCAGGAGGTGCACAGTCCCATCAGGGAAAATGCCTTGCTGGACCTGGTCCTGGCCACAGGCAATGACCTGGTGATTGGACTGTGGGTTCTCGACCACCTGGGCGATAATGATCATCACCTACTGGAATTCACTATCCAACACAGGGTGTCAAAAGCCTGCAGCAAGGCAGTAGCCCTTGACTTCAGGAGGGCCAATTTCAATGAGTTGAGATAAGTAGGAGAGGCACTGAGAGCCCGGTGGGTAGGGGAGTTGGGAGTCCAAGACGAGTGGGTGTTCCTTAAGGAGACGATCCTCCGTGCCCAAAGGGTGACAGTCTCAACGCGAATCAAAGCAGGTAAAAGTGCTCAAAAGCCCCCATGGCTCACCAAAGGCATTCAGGAATGTATGAAAGCTAAAAAGGAGGCATACACCCGGTGGAAAGGAGGGGCTATCATCATGAAGGATTATACCTCTGTTGCTCGAGACTATAAGGGGGGTTGTTAGGAAGGCTAAGGCAGAGATGGAACTAGGACTAGCAACCAGGATCAAAGATAATAAGAAGTCCTTTTTTAAATACATAGGGAGTAAAAAGAAGGCACTGGGTAATATGGGGCCTCTGCAGGACATGCTTGGCAATCTGGTGATTGCACCAGATGAAAAAGCTAACCTTTTTAACAAATTCTTTGCCCCCATTTTTCTGAGCAGGGAGCGGGACATCTCCCCCAGGGTTCCAGACAGACTCATGAGAGGCACCGCCAGACCTAGGGTCAGGGAGAACCTAATTAGGGAACTTCTGGTGGGGCTGGATGTGTTTAAATCATCAGGTCCAGATGATCTCCACCCCCAGGGTGCTAAGGGAATTAGCAGGTGTCATTGCGGGGCCCCTGGCATGGCTTTACAAGTACTCATGGTGCTCTGGCCAGAGGACTGGAAAAAGGCCAATGTGGTCCCCATTTTCAAAAAAGGGAGGAAGGAGGACCCAGGTAACTATACGCCTGTTAGTCTTACCTCGGTCCTGGAGAAGCTCTTTGAGAGAATTATCCAGGAGCACATCTGCAAGGGACCAGCAGGGGAGATGATGCTCAGGGACAACCAACATGGGCTCATTAGGGGCAGTTCCTGTCAGACTAACCTGGTTGCCTTTTACGATCAGGTCACAAAATCCTTGGACGCAGGTGTCGCGGTGGACGTAGTCTTTCTGGACTTTAGGAAGGCCTTTGACACTGTCTCTCACCCCATTCTCATTAAAATACTAGGCAACTGTGGCACTGATGCGTACACGGTCAGATGGGTCGCAAATTGGCTGGAGGGCTGCAGCCAGAGAGTAGTGGTGGACCACCATTTTCGACCTGGAGGGATGTGAGCAGTGGAGTCCCCTAGGGCTTGGTCCTCAGGCCCGTACTGTTCAACATCTTTATCAGCGACTTGGACGAGGGGTTGAAAAGCACCTTGTTCAAATTCCTGGATGACACTAAGATGTGGGGAGAGGTGGGCATGCTAGAAGGGAGGGACAGGCTACAACTAGATCTGGACAGGTTACAGGGGTGGGCAGATGAGAATAGGATGGGATTCAATACTGACAAGTGCAGGGTACTGGACCTAGGGAAAAAGAACCAGCAGCAGACCTACAGGCTGGGGAACTCCCTTCTCATCAGCACAGAGGCAGAAAGGGATCTTGCAGTCATTATTGATTCCAAGATGAACATGGGCCGCCAATGTGAGGACGCGGTCAGGAAGGCCACCCCCCCCTTGTCATGCCTCCACAGATGCATCACAAGCAGGTCCAAGGAGGTGATCCTACCCCTCTATGTGACATTGGTTAGGCCGCAGTTGGAGTACTGTGTCCAGTTCTGGGTGCCACACTTCAGGAGGGATGTGGACAGCATTGAGAGGATCCAGAGGAAGGCCACTCGCATGATCAGGGGGCAGCAGGGCAGGCCCTACGAGGAGAGGCTACAGGACCTGAACCTGTTCAGCCTCCACAAGAGAAGACTGAGAGGGGATCTAGTGGCTGTCTATAAAAACTTACCAGGAGGGACTAGTGGGGAATGGGACAGGCCCTGTTCCCCCAAGCACTACCCGGAGTAACTAGGAATAACGGCCACAAGTTGATCAAGAGTAGGTTCAGGCTCGACATCAGGAGGCACTACTTCAGAGTCAGGGCAGCTAGGATCTGAAACCATCATCCAAGGGAAGTGGTGCTTGTTCCGACCTAGGGGGTCTTCAAAAGGAGGCTAGACAATCACCTTGCTGGGGTCATTTGATCCCAGCATTCTTTCCTGCCCACAGCAGGGGGTCAGACTCAATGATCTGCTCAGGTCCCTTCTGACCCTATCAACTATGAAACTATGAATATGGTTCTTGCTTTTAATGTGATGCCTTGCATCCCCCTCACAGAGAAACGTGAGAACTAAAAAAGCACTGAAGTAAAACACAAAATGAAAAATTACTCTACCAAATATATAGTAAACAAGGTATCTTACTCAGTAAACCAGAGATGTTGCAAAGTATGCATCATGGGATTCACTATGAACAAATGGCTTTCATTCCAGTCTTTCATTTCTTGGTAAGTGTTATGCCATGGGACTGGTGCTCGGATTATTCTCTGAGGAAAAGAGCGTGGGATACTTCTAATGAAGAGTCTCTTTCTCTCAGCTGGATCCATCAAGATGTAATCAACTATAACATATCATACAAATTATTGAGACCAAAAGCATGACTAAAAATCCTATGTACATATAAACATTGGTTCACATGAAACTATGAATATAGTTGTGTGCTATTTGAAATGCACATCATTATGCAGTATCATTTAGTTAATTTCATTCAAAAGACATGTAATGGTAATGTAATGCAATAAGAAAGAGAATGAGAATATTATTAGCTATGCTCCCAAAAAAATGAGAGAGGAAGGATATTTTTGTGGCTAAGGCACAAGAACCATCTCAGGAGAAAGGGGATTTTTTTCTAGTTTGACCCACAAACCACCTGCATGACCACTTAATCACACTGTGCTTCAGCATGCCACCTGTCAAGTGGGGTAGCAATACCTCCATGCGTCTCAGGAGAATTGAGAGGATGTTGATAAATGTTTGAAAGATACAGAAATATGACTCTGATGGTTACCACTTTAAGATACCTGAAAAGAATAATATGTCAATTCAAGGTCTAATCTGTGAAATGCTGAGTGCCCATATCTTCTGTGAATTCAGTGGGAGGATGTGGTTCTGTACACTACCAAATCTGAATGACATCCCAGTACAGGGGTTAGAAACATATGGGCTACAGGCCAAATCCAGCCTGCAAAGAAACTGAATCCAGCCTGCAATCCAGTTAATGTTTTAGAAGTGGTACAGTAAAACCCTGTTGCAGCCTAGCCGTGGGATCTGGTCTGAATTCCTCAATCTACATTTTAGGCACAGACAGAAGTGCAGCTCCCAGGTCTAATTCAGGGCGATTCATAGAAATCAGTCCTCCCAATCCAACAGATTTTAGCTGTTGGATTAGGAGGATGGAGGATCGGCAATCTGAAGCTGAGGGGCTGAGGTAAGGGGCTTCAATCCACTGCCCCTCCCCATCCCCCCGCTCTCCAGTGGGGCTGAGAAAAGGGACCTTCCCCCCCTGCCTTTTCCCCCTCCCATCCAGAGACATTAGCTCAGGTCAAACTGTGCTTCAGCCAGAGCAGACAGAAATTTATGAAGTCACTCCACTTAGGAGCAGCTTTATTTGAACCCTCATACAATGAGAGTTAATTTGTCACGTGATCAGAGAAGGGCTCTTCTGTTACTCTTCTGTTTGGACATGACTTTAGAGTTATTTTAAGGGGCCGATCACATGACAAATGTTATTTCTGCCTATGTCTTTTATTAACAACCTGGCTGCAGACTCCTACAGAGGGCTCCAGCTTCCCTCCCACTCCATACAGAGGGCTCCTTTCTCCCCCCACATTGCAGCCTCTGCTCACTGAATTAACTACTCTGAAAGCTGAGGCAAGAGACAACGTAGAGAAGACATGTGACAGTGTGGGGGAGGCAGTGCAGAGTGTGAAATCAGCCCCTCTGCTCAGAGCAGGAATAACTTGGGTACAGCAGGGGATGGATAGCCTGCAGTGCCAGCTGGGTCTCAAGGAATGGCCCAAGGCAAGTAAAAGGTTGCCAGCCCTTTACCTAGTAGATCTACTTTGCACAAGTGTAAGTGAGCACAATGGATGAAAAGCAGGCATTCTCTTACACAAATACAACATATGAAAAGAGACTGTGGACACTAAAATCATGTAGCATGAAGTTAGAGGGGACCTAGATTGGTACTGAAGGTTATGGAAATTACAGTGAAAATGATTCATCACTTGTATGCTGTCCTATAATAGAAGAACAAGAGGCCACACTATCAGGTCAATATTTTAATGTGTCTTTAAGCATTTGAAATATTTCAGTCCATGGAAAGCCTATGGTCATCATGCAGTTGAGACCCTTATTACTGCCAGGACGGAAGAATTTTATGACCTATCATGCAACCATATGCAACATAAAAGAAGGGGAAATTTTTCAGGGCATAAATAAATTGCTGCAAGGCTGTGGAAAGAAGTCTACCCTCAATGTGCTTTATTGCACACTTGGTGCTTAGTCCTGTCTAAAGTATCAGATATTGATCACCTCCAAGATACCATTTTGAGAGATCACCTGCTGAGTGGTAAATGGTGCACAGGCAACCCCCAGATTTACGAGGCAATTGGTTCCTCAAAACCACGTCTTAAGTCGAAACATTATAACTCAGAACCAGTTTTCTCATAGGAACAGTGTTACAAATATGGGATTGGTTCCTTTACATCAGTCAATACTGAGTGCAACTGGTAAGTGGTGGAAGGGGAGGGGGAAGGAAAGGGGTGTATGGGGGCAGATCAATGCGCCCCGTGGTGAGGGAGGGGTTTGGGCGGGGACCGGGGCTGGGGCAAGCACTGCCCAGCTGGGGCCAGGTAGTCACGGAGAGTGGGGGGACAGTGGCTCCCACCACTGCACGCTGCCGCTCCGGCAGGTGACAGGGTCTACAGTGTATTTTTGCATGGCTGCAGCTCCCCATAGTCCCTGCTGGACCAGTGGCGGGAGCAGTGGTGTGAATTGCCGGTCAAGCT